TTTGTTGTTTTTGTTGTTTTAGCCTCATATCTATACCTGCTGTCTTTTGTCAGCCTTTCGTGCTGACACTGAAATTTTGGTTGCTCTTTTAAACTTTTCAGGTAACTAGCGATTTCAACTGGATTCAAGCTGCAGTACAGAGCATGAAGGTCCAGTGTCAACTCCAGCTTGAGCGCAACTCTTCTCTGTGGACAGGAAGTCCAAGTGCTCCTCCCCAGGAATACACTAACTTGTTCTGCATCGCAAACTGTGGTGGAGCTGGTACTTGCGAAGAAGGTAGTTCCTTTCGTAAAATTATTATTTCAACCCTCTAGAACCAGAACTTGATTACTGTGGGAGGGGGGGGGGGGTAATCATGAAATTTGAAATGGTGCACGTAAAGGTATCAAAAACATAAACCTTTCAGTTATGTTAGAAAGATTTGTAATAGGGTCTATTTCTAGACACAAGGTCTAGTCTGATGGAGAACGCTGATTTATGGTCTATCTGAAATAATTATTTTCAGGTATCATTGTCTAAAACCAATTTTCCAAATATGGCACGTGCGGTCCTTGGGAATAAGGTTTCCAAGCTAATAATAATAATAATAATAATAATAATAATAATAATAATAATAATAATAATAATAATAATAATAATAATAATGTACATACATACATACATACATACATACATACATACATACATACATACATACATACATACATACATACATACATACATACATACATACATACATACATACATACATACATACATACATACATACATACTTACATACACACACACACACACACACACACACACACACACACACACACACACACACACACATGCGTGCATGCATACACAATATTGTATTGTATTTTATATTGCGCACACTGCAGTTCTGTTCAATATTTTGCTATACGTGATGACCTCAATTTCAGTTCAGGGTTCATAGCTCGAAAAACGTAATGTCCCACAAATATACCCTCACCCGCAGATAGCGTGCTTTTGTCCAAGCTTTTTTTGGAATCCGCGCTGATTTTGGCAATATAGATATTTCTTTTGACAAAAGTTCATTGCAACGCAACACTTATACCCAAACAAAAACAGTTCGGTAGCCTGGGATAAATATAAGTTGCCTTTCTTTGTGAGAATGGAGAAGGAATATCGGAATTAACATATATTCAAAGTACTCGTGATGTTTCTCTGCTCTCTTCTCCTGCATCCAAGGCTACGCACAGGCATAACGTACTACATGTTATATAAACAAAATACAAACCTGTAGACATCGACAAGGCTCCTCACGGGGAAAAACATGTTTCCTGACGAAAAATAATGGTTCTTTACAAGAAAAAAAACATTGGTTCTTGAATTTTGTTGACGATTTTATTTTCTTTAACATTTCAAAGCTCGCCGTAAAACCTTATACCATACATACATACAAACATTTCAAAACTATGCTACCCAGACGATTTTTTTAATTTCAAAAGAGATTGAAGACATATAATGTTGCAGCTAGCTAGTTTTCACATTGATAGGACCATTAGCAATCAGTTCAGAGGTCTCCAAAGTGAGCTTGTTCAAAAAGAAAGGAAAATTTAGGCGTTGTACCCATACAAAAAAAACCCCTGCAGTGCTATCAGTTCATTAATACACTTTTGCTTTGTCTTTTCAGGAGTGTGCAAGTGTATAGAAAACTATGGGGGTGCTGACTGTTACGTCAACAAGCTTCAGCCACCGAATGTGTTTTCCCTGAGTAATGGAGGTTTCTGTGACCTTAGGGACGAGAACTGCGACAACGTCATCGTATACATGAATAACACAGAGAACTCTAATCAACTGTCCTGTTACCTTAAAAGAATGTTGGTGCGTGCAAATAGGTTGAATCATGACATTTAGGGGTATTGTTTTCTTAACTGAATAGTTCAATTTCTTTTTCTTTTTTTTAACTAATTCAATATAATATGGGATACCTATTATTATCTCTCTTCTTGTTTGCGGCATAATACTATACATGGTTGTAAATACTATACTTCGTTTTATGTTATTTATATTATAGTATGCGTAATTTTTTTTATATTGAAAGCGACACACGAACATGTCTCACATATTGTTCTCAACGAAAACAAACTATGAGCAGAATGGAAGCAGCTGAAGACTACTTTTTCGCCACAATTTAAGAACACATTCTTTCTTTGATATGTAGAAACGTATTAGATATTGTACAAAACTACGTTATTCAGAAGAAGTTGTCAAAACATATAACAATTCACTAACAATGATAAGGGTTTTGTAACGTCACTGATATGTAGCTAGCGACACACTATACAACAACAGTTATGAAACGAAAATATTGTTAGTCGCTGGTGAGTACATTCAGTTTCGTTGAATGGGGTGGGGGTTAATGATATTACCGACATACAGTAGTTAATTTTCTGACAGGAATTTTCATCTTTTTAATCAGACAAACTCATCGGGGACGTTCTCGACTGGCGATCAGCTGACCAAAGCAACGGCAACTTTCCTCAGTGTGAACGAGCTGTCTTGCTCCATACCATCAGGATCAGGGACTTACGAAATCATAATAAGTGGTGATGGACAACGCTACAGCTCTCCTGTCTACTTGTTTGTGTATAATTCCCTATGCTTTGATTGCGCTGTCAACAACCAGACGTGCATGCCAAAGGTAATATTTGATTGTACTTTTGATACATTAAGTAGAAGCTTTGGATTTCTTTAACTTGTGATTTCATTATCAAATTGATTGAAAACACAGTTGGCAACAGGTAATATAAACCAACAACACATGTTAATGTGATTTTAACGTATTTTATTGTGTTTCATGCAATTAGTCATGAAACGGCACCTAAGTGATATTAGAGTTTTGACCAACTATCATTACTATCAATAAATTGTGGCATCTCAACTCATGAACTTCTCGGTGCCTCCGATAATTCATCACTTTATATAACTCACATTATTTCTCCTCTGTTGGTGCTCTAGGTTTCTGGATGTTTAATCAATGGCGTTTGCTATGAAAATGGAGAATACAACCCGTCCTCTTTAAGGGAATACTGTGATCCTGCCATCAATGCTACTGTATGGCAAACTGCTCAAGGTAACATAATGTGTAAAAGTCGATTACTTACTTACTTACTTACTTACTTACTTACTTACTTACTAACTTACTTACTTACTTACTTACTTACTTACTTACTTACTTACTTACTTACTTACTCACTTACTTACTTACTCACTTACTATCCTATACCGCTTGGTACATAGGGCGAAGAGCAGTGGACGCCATGCTTGCCTGTCCCTTGCCACCTTCTCCAATCTCGGCACATCCAGGCCGTGGGTGATTGCCTCATCCCTAATTGTGCTTCTGCAGCTTCCAGTTCGTCTACCTCTTTTTCATTTTCCAGTTGGTCTCCAATACCATCTCTGATAGGGCAATCTTCGGCATTGGTCGATTGATCATTTGTAAATTAACAGTACAGGACCTAAGAGTATTTGAACATAACACACAATTTTGATAAAGACAGTACCTGCACATTTCAAGAAGTCATAAGTGTGGTTGTTGTTGAACAGAAGCGAACTATCAATGTTTCTAGGTGAATCTTGCAAGCATCGGGATTTCTGGGTTATTAAAATTCGTTTGGGGTTTTTTTCACACGAAGAGGTATAAGTTACGGTCAATATGTACAACGGTCAATATGTCCTTTGCTACAACACCAAGGGTTCACACTTCAAAACACTTTAGGTTGACCAGTAGCTTTGCAAGCAGCTACAATTTTTAGATGATAGCAATAAGGCATGAAGAAATCTGTTTAAGCTTATCCCTCACAAAGTGTAGGTAGGCGTATAAGGGAACAAGGGTTTATTAGTTGTTTTGAGATCATCCTTCAAGTAGTTTACCGCGCGTTAATAAAACTTAAATGTAAATATCATTTGTTGCCTTCTTTAATTTAACGGTAGGTATGATCAGAGATATATACTTTTATGCAATATAGCGACGAGGGCCTGATTGGTAATTTATTGACAATAATCTTCAGGATGTTTCTTGAGACATGAATGGAGTTAATAGGAACAGGTTCGGGGTTTATAGAATGATGTCCTTCGGTGTTACAAAGAGGATAGTACTTTTGACAGTTATCAAACTCAACTGGTTTGGGATTTTATTTTTTTTTACATTGTAGCATGCGCATAGTGAAATCGTCCGGCAGCAAAAATATTTTTGTTATGTACGAATTTCTCTATCTTCATGTTTTAAATGCAATGCTACACGTATAAGTAGACATTCGGGACCTGGAAATCTCTTCGCTATATGTGTGTTCGCTCTGTGCGAGGTAGATTGTGTTGTTTTTGTTTCTACGTCTTTACAACTATATTTTCACTTAATCCCAATTGCTGTTCCTTTTGTCAGACTCATGTCAGGGATTGCCTTTGATATGGCTGGAAGACGGAGGCTTCATCAGCGGTGGTGAAAGTGTGGTTGGGGATAAGGAGTCTTGCAAACAAATGTGTCTTAGCCAGTACGGCACTGGTGGGAATGATTGCTACTCCTTTGATTATAATGCTACCTCGGGGAATTGCTCCTTGAACTCTGCAGACAAGAGAAGTGACTATGAAAGCCTTATTGCGGACAGTAGTAGCGTGAATCTGGAGTGGAACTGTGAAAACAGTAAGTTGGTTTTTCTCTAGTATTTCAGTCTTTTTTTAACAGTGTATCTGTAGGTAGATTATATAATAGTTCCTGTAGATGTTACACGCCACCCGCGACACAATGTAAATCATGGAAGGCAGGCTGCTTGGAATCTGCCTGTCGGAGTAAACCCGGATTGAGAAGGACACAATATCTCAGCAGACAGATGGAGATACTCGATAAAACGTGTCCACGCACAGAAATCGAACTCAAATCTTCTGCTTGCAGGCGCTGGTTGTGTATCTGTGAAACTTTATGAAGACGGTCCGAATGCTTTCGTTTTTCAAATAATGTTATTATCAATAAATGTATTATAATATTGATTGCGGTAGCATTTTTATTACATGGGACATGATTTTTATGTTTCAGCATTTCAAAAAGGGAATTTTTTTCTGAATTTGCTCATGAACATTTTAGTTCTGATTTATATAAATGGTAATTCGCTGTACATATTTAGGCTAATATATAATGATATGCTGAGAATGAAATGCGAAATGAAATGCGTTTAGCAAATCGTCTATTAGTTTGTTGTTTTGTTTTTGGTTTTCTTTTTCCTTTGTGGGGTGGTTGAGGTGATGTTCCTCTATTTTGCTTTTACTCTGTTGTTTGGTTTTCAACGAGAACTAAATGGTTTAATTTACATTTGTGATACAGGTAGCATAAATCTGTATTCCTGGAGACTTCTCCCGGAGGTCAACAGTACAATTCATTTCATGTTATACAGCTAGCAACAGTCAGAAAAGCAGTTGGGGGAGGGGAGGGTCACCGTACTCAATAAATTGTGACTGATAAACCTCACGTTCCGGTATACAGTTAAATTTTGATACGATGTAAACATTATCAACAAACTATATCGTAAAGGTCGTGTTTACTCAGAAACCACAAAACAATTATATGGTGCCCTTTCAACATGCTATGGTTCTATGCTAGTTATGGCAAAAACTTTTTCTTAATGGGATGTAATGATAATATGTCTTACCGATCACGGTACTTAGATCTTCAGGTAAAATGATGGGGGTTTTATATAACTCTTTTGCATTTGGTTTGTATGCTTATATGCTTAATCTTTGTTTGGATTTTAGTTTAAAATGCATAAACCACTGGTGTTATGGGGCTACTGCAATTTATCTGATTCAAAGACATGATCATGAGCTTTTATTAAAATGTTTTCTCATCAAATAATGGCATAACAGAAAACCATTGTTTGTATGGCCACCATATTATATAATTTATATTATTTCTTTTTCTGGCGAAATCAACACTGATTGTTTATGATTTTGTGTCATTTTTGCTTGGCTGCTTGTTGGTATTGTCATTTTGTTTGTTTGTTTGTTTGTTAGTTGTTGTTTTTTGGGGGGGTCGTTGTTATTGTTGTTGTTGTTGGTGGTGTTGTTGTTATTGTTGTTGTTGTTGTTGCTGCTGCTGCTGCTGTTGTTGTTGTTGTTGCTGTTGTTGGGGCTTTTATCAATGTACCAAAGCGTTAAAACAATGTTCATGCAAACTCCCTCAGATCCATGCCACAAGGAGAATGTGATCTGGACACGGAAGCCTGGTTTTGCCATCTTAGGTTCTGGTGACAAAATCGTCTCTGGCATTACATCCAGTTTTGAGTGCCGTAAACGTTGTCTCTCTGAGACAAGTTTCCTGTGCCGCTCAGTGCAACTGTTAGGTGATGCTGGAATGTGTGTACTTTGGGCAGAGACAAGCATAAGCGCTGGAAACAATTTTGTTCGCTGGCCTGGTTACATCTTTGAGGAATGGAGTTGTGCTTCAGGTGCGTTTTTCCCTTTCGACCGTAGGTGATCGGGATTTGATTCTTAGATGTTGATAATGAAAAAGAAGTAACGCCGTTCTCTTACAGATTATAAGTTTGAAAGAGACAACAAACTGCAGAGGGACACTTATCATGCTAACAGTTTGATGTGTTGTTTCATTATACGATGTTTCAACATAGAGGGGTCGTTTTTTAGTTTGTGGTTATAAGTGATACGAGAGATTGTCGATTTTTTTATTCAATGTGTGCTTACTGTCCATACATATTTGTTACACGTACAATACACCCTTGGGGGGGGGGAGGAGGGGGTAATGCCCTCTTTACAGACTGTTCTCAGCTTAGTTGTTTTTTTTAAACGTATTCCACAAATTGTGATGTGGAGTCTTGGCCATGGAGACTAACCTTTATTTAGGACTGGTTACAATATTCACATTTTGTGAGTTGAAAAGACTAACTATAACCACCGTCTGTAACGTATTCTTTCAAAATAATGTCATAAAAACAACTAAAGCTTTGGGTTCAAAAGAACTAAACACTGTTATTTGCGTTGACTTTTATATCGGAAAGAGCAGACATTTCTTGATAATCGGTATTATTGCAACTTTTTTGGCCGGGTAGGGGAATGGGAGGAAGGTCTTTACTCTTCTCATTTATGCCAACTAGTGCTTAATAATTAAGAGCTTGAACCGCACGTGCCAGGCTCACTTTACATATGTTGCTCATCCCGAAAGATCTCACTTGCCTGCTGTTTATAAAGTTTGCCCAAAAAGTTAAATCAGAACTTTCTGTTCTTGAAATCACAGCTTCTTTAAAAAAATGCATATTCTATATAAGCTGTTTTATCCACTGAAGGTCTATTAGGAGTGCAATCAGTCTGTGCTTTAAACCGAAATCATATCTTGTTCAGCATTGTGCATACAATATTGTAATAATTCTTCCAGGAACTGGAAACCTATTGCCACTAGCCAATCCTAGTGCCAGCATTGTGAAAGACCCTTCTGGTGGCTCAGAGGACTACACGCTCAGTTGTAACTTCAAGACTCCTGACTCTACTAATGCCACACTACAGGCTAACATCGAGTGGTTGGTTGACAACACCGTGGTAGAGGTTTCAAACATTTGGACAAATCAAGGAGACCAAGAGTATAATGCTCACATGAATCGGGCCAAGCTTACGAATTTGGCATACGGAACCAAGGTATGTTTATAGAGAAATGTATATTTTTTCTCCGAAGATTATGTGTTTCTTTAAACAAAAAGCTGTACGGAAGGTTCCTGTAGACAATTTACTATCAATTCATAATTTATTATGTGCCATAGTCATTATAATTACAAGTTACGTTGAAGTATGAACGAATTGGTTTGATTTATTTCTTCTGTTTTTCCCCACCTTTGTTCATTGCCCGTCTTCTATTCTTCCTATCGTCTAAACTTCTACTATTACTCATAAGTGAAATGATTTATTGTAGTAGCAGTAGTAACAGTAGTGATACAAATATGATGATGATAATAATAATAATAGTGATGATGATGCTGGTAATAATAATAGTAATGATATAACCACATTACCTATGAAATTAGTGACGACAATATGATGATGATGCATTGATTTTATATTGTGCACATGTAGCTGAAAGAGGGTGTGAAGTCAAAATTTAATTAGCTTTCAACTGTGACTTTTCATCGAGATAGAGTTGACATTTGTGACCGAAGCTAAATTCTAATTCTGATGAAGTCATTGATCAGATATTCATCAGGGTTTTGAACATATTTTTTTTCATTACTGTAGTGACATTTATCAATATGATGTATTTCTGACAGCTATCGTGTGGTGTAAGCCTTTGCTTGAATGAAAGCTGTTCTGAGACCATTGGAGCATTCCGACGCAGCAATAGGATCAACTTGATCTTGGAGGTTAGTATGAAATTGTTGCGTCGGCATTCTGTTGTTGTTTGTGTGTACATTCTATTCGTGTCCGTTGCCGGGTGATCCCGATGCACTAGTCCGCCTCTGATCCAGTAACCGTGATCGTTAATTAATTTGACCTCAGTGGCAAAACAATGGCAAGCTATACGGATAATTGTTTGCCTTAGATAGCTTCCTATTGTTGTCCTCTTCGACAGTGCCATTATAATTTAGAAAGGAGAAGGGGGGAGTGGTCGTTTGTCCATGTGATTGCCTTGGACAAGTGTTCGGTAGAAGAGCTTTGGCAGTATAGGCCCCTACTATTCTCTGACCAGAAGGAAGTGAGAGGAGTGAAAGATATGCACACGTAATTTTTTTAATTTATTGTGGGGGTGGGGTTGTAAATTGGTTTTATATCCTACCAAAGGTTAATTAATTAAGTAAAGTGACTCATAATAATATTTACTACTCGTAACATGGGGTATGATGTTGACGATGTACGTGCATTCCTTTTAACATGGTGCTCTGGATATTTGGGAATTATGTCGCGTATTCTTTAAACATACTACTTTTTAAAATGTATTTCCATTCTAACCTTTCTCAGGTTAAAAGTCTACCTGAGCTGACAGTAACAGAGGGACAACGTGGCGAAGTAATCAGTGTTGTAAGCAACGCTCCCCCGTCGTTTTTGTGCGACACATACAACTCATCATCCGACTGCAGCTTCATGATCAGGGTACAAGTGAACCATACAGCGCCTGGTCTCGCCTGTCCTCTCTCTGGTACCATGGCTCAGGTCGTTCTTGGTTCCTCTAACACGCTTGATGACGCTGACGCCGATGGTCCATTCTGCGGCCACATCATGACGAACAGGAACTGGCAAACAAGAGCAGATATTGCTGTTGTGGCAAAACTTGATCTTGTTCAGGACGATGATGTTAAGAGGACAGTCCATGTATCCGGAAGCCTCGTTGCGGAAAATATGATCGAGATTATAAAGCTGGACTTACAAGATGTTGAGGTTTGTATACGCACTTCTCTCCATATTTTGTTAAAAAATTAAACCAGATGATGTAGGTTTCGCTAACTGAATCACCGAAACAATTTAACTTTATTAATGGAAAAACTATGCATTCAAAACTGTTAATATATTTTTTTCCAAAATATGTATAGGATCTACATGTTTGTAATTATAACCTTTTGATATTCTGACACAAGAGAAAAGATTTGCAATATTTGAACGTAAGGAAAAACTTAAGTGTTACAAAATTGTGTATGTATTATTCACCAAAGATTTTTTTTTTTTTTTTAATTTTCAGGTGACCGTTGTCAACCAGGATTTTGGTGGCGTCTGTGTATCCATGAACGATCCACACATGATCACATTTGACAGAAGATATTATAAGAACTTCAATGAAGGAGAATTTATCCTGTACCAGCACGCTTCTCTTCCGTATGAGGTGAATATGCTTGTTTGTTTGCTTGTTTGTTTTCTTATTTGTTTGTTTGTTTGAGGTATTGTACTTTCTTCAGTTGAACATATTTGTTCACGATTTGCTATTGGCTTTTTGGTTTCTTTAATTTTGACTCGTGTCCTTTACTTTGCTCTCATACTAATGAGCAAATAGCATGCATGTAAACTAATATTGAAAATATCCATATCAACTTGTCGAACTTCAGATTACTCTGCAATTGAATGAACTTTCGGAACCTGTTTTGCAGCTTGTAGATCTAAAACAAACTGTCAAAAAAAGCGTCAATATTGAAGAGACTTTGAATGATTGTTTCTCGAAACCTTGGTACCATTGAATTTAGCTGCTGTTGTTATGCCCGCCCTCAAATGTTTGCTTTATGATTTGTTTGAAATCGAAGCCATCAGGTAATTTCAAAGCTGCACTTCCAACACAATATTATACATTATCATGACGTTATCCTAGTCCTGGAGTTGATGGGGTAAAAAGGGGGGGGGGGGGGGGGGGTTGGAGGGTATTTGTCTGTTCTGTTAGCTTGTTTTGGGTTGTTGTTTTCTTTGTTGGTTTGTTTTGGGGCTGGGTTGTTTTCCTGTTGTTGTTGTTGTTGTTGTTGTTGTTGTTGTTGTTGTTGTTGTTGTTGTTGTTGTTGTTGTAATTTGGGGGGGGGGGGTATTGTGCTTTTCTTCTGTTTTGGTTTGTTGTATGTATTGGTTGATTGATTGATTGATTGATTGATTGATTGATTGATTGATTGATTGATTGATTGATTGATTGTTATTGTTGTTGCTGCTGTTATTGTTGTTGTTGTTATTGTTTTTGTGGCAGTAATTTACTCTGACATGATCTTGCGCAGATCCGTGGATTTTACAGACGATGTAAAGGCAAAGAGTTGGGCTCATGTACTTGTGCAGTGGCAGCTCGGTCTGGAGATGACGTTCTTGTCATTGATCGCTGCGGCGCCAAGGATTCTGGGCGGCGTGATATGCCTTTCCTTGACCTCAAACTTTATCAAATTGGTAAACTAATCCCCGGAACAACAGTGAGACGTGTGGGTGGAGGACTTAAATATGAGGTAGGTTTATGCTACCCAAAGCATAACCATCATCATCATCAACATCTTCAGCATCAGCATCATCATCAGCAGCAGCAGCAGCAGCATCACCATTATCATTATCAGCATAAGCTTCAGCATCAGCACCATCACCATCGTCATCATTATCATCCTCCTCATCATCATCATCAACAGCAGCAGCAGCATTACCTTTCCCACCATGCATCAGGGTATCTGGATGAATATCAGCATCAGGGTATTTGGGTATAAGTAAAAGCTGCAAACATTTTTCATCTTTCCCTGTTCTGGGCTAACCTCTAAATGTCTTCCCATTTTTCTGCATATTATCATTATTATCTGTGACTCTTCTCCAGGTTCCTCGTAGCTAAAGCACCACTTGTTCCTCCAATCAATTTCATCTTAATCTAATGTGCCTATGCGAGTGAATGGTTTAATGTGACAGAGCTTCTTATCAAGTTATATTATTTTCTCGGAAAAGGTGAGGGGGGGGGGGGAACAACAGCGCAAATAACTTAGGGCTCAAGGCACATATACGGAGTAGCCTACACTCCGGTGGCTGCCCTGAAGGTGCAGTTCAGTTTTGTGAAAGAATTGATGGAGGGGGGGGGAGGGTAGGGGGAGTCACATTGAACAAGAATAAAATAATCATCGATATAGTAATAAATATTAGTAGGCCGAACGCCAATGTTGTTGTTGTTGTTGTTGTTGTTGTTGTTGTTGTTGTTGTTGTTGTTGTTTTTGTTGTTATTGTTTTTAATTCGATTTAAGAAAAAGCTAAATTTATTTAGTCACTCCGAATCATTTAGAGTGGCTTTAATGTTTCTTATGTAGCTGGTATTGTCGAAAAGTTCAAACACACATGGAACTTCAAAGTTTTGATACAGAATCTAGATCTTGTCAATGCTACTTTTACTTTTTTTAAGGATGAAGGTAAAAGACAGATACACGTACTATATGACGTTTTGGCCAATTATTATTATTATTATTATTCACTCAATTCATGAACTGCTTGCTTCTTTTGTCCGCTATTCAGCCTTTTTTTTAACCAGCCACTTTTTATAAAATTATTATTATTATTATTATTATTATTATTATTATTATTATTATTATTATTATTATTATTATTATTATTATTATTATTATTATTATTATTATTATTATTATTATAGGCCCTATTGCTATTTTTAAAGCGTGAAAAGCATAATATCTATGTATTAGTTTTTTTTATTCCCCAAGTCAAAGATTATTATTATTTTTATTATTCGATTCAGGTTTCTTTACTTTTCTTTTACCGAACTGCTACTGTCTGTATTACAAATATCTCTAAACTTTTCATTTCAAAACAAAAACAACCATTAACATTTTACAATAACGTTGTTGACAGTCTTAGAGCCTTTAATAAAATTATATACATTTTAAAACATAGATCTACTTCTATATATAATATATAGATCTAGATCTAGAAATCTATATTGCGTGCCTTTTTTTAAACAATGTTGGGAAAGTCAACCGTCGTTTTCAGGTGTTGACTTGTGAAACTTCGACTTCAAGTACTTCAACTTCAAGCGATTGTTTGGGCCTTTTTTTTTGTTACTTGTACTTTGTCACAAAATGTGTCGAGTTTACTATCCTCCCAGCGAATAAAAGATCTCGATGGGCTGATACATCTACTGTGATAGCTCCCGTTCATTAAGTTAATGAAAGAATAATGATTACGTTATAATTCAGAACAGCAGAGTTACCAGTCATCAGCTCTGAAAGTCAGTTTATGAGTTTATCATATATTTAAACCGAGTTGGCTTAATTAAGTGTATGGGTTTAACGCCCCTATTATCAGGTTATTTAAGAGAGGGGACCTCTGAATTGAAAGTCCGTCTCCTAAAAGAAGGAGCCAAATGAGTTGAGAGCAGTGAAAACTCCTCAAAACGACCTACGTTTAGGAATGTCCAGTCTGGGATTTGAACCAGAGCCATCCGCTCAATGGTCTAGCATGATAACATGCAATTACGTGTTCACTCATGGTATAGGTCAGACTGTATGTTGTTACTTCTACTGATGTGAATTCTGTCTATGAGCTCTATCACCATGACACTGCTGCTACAAATAGATTTTAAAATTGCCTTTATGGGAGGAACTCTGTAACAACAAGCGACCATTATGAAATAGAGAGGATTAGGGTTGGGGTTTGGACTAGGGTCAGGGTTAGAGTTAGGTCCCTTCTTGTTTGTTGGGGTGGTCGCTCGTTGCAGAAGTCCTTCCACCTACATACATACTTTAGTCTTCGGAAAATTACAGACACAAGATGCTCAGAATTTGCGCAGCTTTGCAAAAAAAATATGGTTAACTTGCAGAAGTAGATATATATATATATTTATTGATTATGTGATGATCTCGAGTGGTTTGGTAATAATTATATTTTTTCTAAGACTTTTTGGGGCTCTCGTGGTCTGAAGGTTATGGTGTTCACCCTTCTTTCAATGAGTGCTGGGTTAGAATCCTGACAGCGAGGAAAGTTTTTTATCTTCTTTCACCTCCTTTCTTGCTCTCTAATCATGTTCTGTTGTCTGCTTTCGTCTTCACTTTCTACCCCCCTTTACCCCATTCTCTGGGCTCCTGACTCTTTCTGCTCGACTGCCTTTTTACTGCTACTCCATTGCTCTTTCATACTATACTGCTGCACTGTCTTTCTGCCACACCCCTGATCTTACGGTAGGTAAGATTAAACACTTACTCTTCTCACATTAGGGTGAAAATTTCTCAAAGGTCCCTATGCAAGTTGTGCACGTTTAAGATTTCAACATTGCTGACGATGTGACCTTCCTTTAATTTCTGAGAAAAGTTACTTATAAATGCCCTTGTTGAACTTGTTTTATGTCAGCATTGCACTGAATTCGGTGCTTTATTAGTTAAAATTTATTATCGACTGCTTAGTGTAAGCTTCTGCATTTATTTATTCTTTCCACTTAATGCGCCTGTGATTGAAACAAAAGAAAAATCAGTTCATTTGTTTCATCTTTCATTTTTCTTTACATGCCATCATTTTTTTTCTTCCCAAAAATAGGTTGGCCTGCCAACTGGAACAGTGCTTGAGGTTGATGTCAAAGATGACTTTCTCAACGTACTTATTATTGCCTCAGCAACAGATTTCAACAACACTAAAGGTGAGCATACATCCTCTAAGCCATACTAATGTGAGGAAATACAACAAATTTTGTAGTGAAGTCGAATGAAGGTTCTAACATTATTTCAGAAGCAGACACGATGATGGTGAAATGGTTTACATTTCTCAATGTATCTTGTGATGCTTTTTGTACACTTTAGGCCTGAAGACCTGGCAATTTTCCTTGTTTAGACAAATGCCAATAATATGATGTTAACATCTTAGGAAACAGAGAATTAAAAAAATTTTTGATACTGAAAAAAATTATAAAGACACAAAGTAATCATGACATCTAGCACTAGTCTCTTCATCACATGATTTTTTGTGTCATCAAATTTTATAAACAAATTTGATCACCAATATATTTTTTAGACTAGGTGACTGACATGATACTGACATAGTCTTGCCTTGATTATACGGCAAAAACATTGGCACAACAGTGATGGATTTCTTTTGTTAATACAATTTTTCCCTTCTTTAATGCCTAGGTCTGTGTGGTCTGTATGATGGAGACAAAGACACCATGCTGACAAAGAGAGATGGAACTGTGTATGATAGCATTGAAGTCAGACCCGATGAATTTTCTCTATCATGGAGGTGACTGTTAAAGCATTTATACAAAACTTTTATTCCTGGGAGTCGTAAGAATGTACAGTTAAAACTGTCTAAGACAGCCACCCATTGTCGAATAGAAAAGTGGCCTTCAAAGAGAGGTGAACACCTGCCACAGTGTCATTATAATGTAAAAAGCACGAGGGGGGGGGGATGAAAAGTGGGCGTTCGTATAGGTGATTATCTTACACAAGTTGCCATTACAACAGGTTCTACCGTATTTTATAAATTTGGAATGTGAGTGGAGTGCTGGAGAGGAACATACAGTCGGACCTATTCTGACAGCCACCTGTCCAAGACAATCACCTGTGCAAACAACCACTCTCCATTTCCCACCTTGTGATTTTTTTTTGGTATTATAATGACACTGCCAAAGATATCCACCTGTCCGAGATGACCACTTTTCTCCTCAGCAATGGGTAATTTAATTATCTGAGACAATTCCAACAATTTTTTTTTTTTTTTTTTTTTTTAAATTAGCTGTTAATAATATTTTCACAGAAAGTAAATAGTACTTGTTGATTCAGAGTCTTATCTACATGATCCCGTTCTGCTATTCCTGTAGGTTGACAGTAGGGTTTTTCAATGCTTCTTGACCATTATTTTACACTTGCTTTTTTAAAACTCCAGTAAGAAAATAGATTTAGAAGATTATAAAAACTAGTATCTGTATATGATCAGAACTTTATATTGAAGATGTTAAAAATGTCTGATCTATATTTTTTTTTAAGCAATCTAGTTATGTCTTAAGTTATCAAAATAGTTTATAAGTGTATGTCTAGGCACTACTAAATTCTAGTGAAAGTTTACTTTTAATTTAGCAGTGACAGAACAATGGCTCCGATTTTTAATATTGAAACCCTTGTTTACACTGTGTATCCTGTTTTAAACAAACTAGCTCTTATTAAGACTGTCCTATTTTAAACAAAGTAGCCTTTATTTCAAACTATTTGTCCTGTTTGGAACTCAACATTCCTGGTTAAAAACAATGTTGTTTGTATTGCCTTGCGCCAGAGTGGATGTGACTGAGAGCTTGTACACTGGTTTTTGCGGGACACTTGAATTTGAGCCCAAGGTCATGACTTTGTGCGATTGCCAAGGTACATACAATGGAACTTGTCAAGATGGAGGAGAATTGATTACTTGCTCAAGGACGGACGACCATTTCAATTACTGGAAGGGTATGTTGGTTGATATTTAAAGTGTCCAGTTGAGATAGATATTTATTTCAAACTTTAAATTTTGTAATAAAGTAAATGTAAATCAAGAAAAGCTTGGTGTGAAGCTGTCCATTTACAACAGATCACCCATTTTCTGGTGTTGAAGATTACAATGAATTGATGAAGTTAGTTTTAGGCTCGTAATGTTTTACTTTATTAGACTGTCTTCAATCTGTCATTAGTTCTGGTGTAATTTTATTCTCAATTTTGGTTTATGCTTTATGTTCGTGTCCTTTTTTTTTCTTTTCGCTCTGTCTCTGCCTCTTCTTTTTGAAATATTAACAGAATTACTCACATTCCCATTTTTTCCCTTCTTAGTATTGAACAATATCCCCTAGTGATGCAAATGAATTATGCATTCTTTCTCTGCGCACATAGTTTTAAGCTTATGGTCAATAAAAACAAAAAACTACTGGTGCCTGTATCACCATGTCCTCGAAGACATTTTGCTTTGAAGCCAGAGCATTTGCATTTTTCAGGCCATTATGTTGTGAACTAGAAAATTGCAATTTTCAAACCTTTCCCACCATTTCCGTACAGTGAAAGGACTTTATCTCACATACTCTGTCTCTTAAAAGCCAGGGGTCTTTTTATACATCACTGAGTTTTTTATTGAAATTTGTGCAAATTTTTCATGTTATATTTAGTGAGACTACAATACCTACTTCAATTTGCTTTTCTTTACAGGAGAAGATATCACACTAGATCTACAAGAGAGATCTCAGTCTCCAATGTGTGAAGTTTCAAAATCAGTTGGACAAGCAGCTACTGACAAATTTGAATATGATCCTGATCAAAATGCTGGAGTGAGTATATTAGTGGGATTTTTTAACTCTTCCGATTTGTTCAGTCCATGAATTTGTATTTCTTTTTGTAAATCAGCAGTCTTTGCTAAAAGCAAGGGTTTTCATGTGGACCAGGTTTTCAATGACAAACTTTACTAATATGACAAAAAGTATTTTTCAATGCTGGAAGGTGATGACAACGGTGAATATTTCTTGTGCATAGACACACAATCTCTCTCTTTCTCTCTCTCTCTCTCTCTCTCTCTCTCTCTCTCTCTCTCTCTCTCTCTCTCTCTCTCTCTCTCTCTCTCTCTCTCCCTCTCCCTCTCCCTCTCCCTCTCCCTCTCTCTCTCTGTCTCTCTCTCTCTCTCTCTCTCTCTCTCTCTCTCTCTCTCTCTCTCTCTCTCTCTCTCTCTCTCTCTCTCCCCCTCCCCCCTCTCCCTCTCCCTCTCCCTGAATTGCACCTGCTCTTAGCTTTTTCTTTTTTTTTTTTTCAACCATACCTGCTCACTCATCTGTTGCTTTAAAAACAGTGGTATACTTCACTTAAACTTGAAAAAAATTGATATATTGGATCTTTCTTTGTGTGGCAACCTAACTCAGGGGTAGACAATAATGAGTTTCCCTTTTCCCCTTTTGTCTGTTCTTCTCTTTAAGGAAAATTATATGCCTTATGAAAGAATAGATTGGTTTTCTTATGAAAGAATAGACTGGTTTCCTTGCTGACTCTCTTATGGCTGTTGTTTTGTTACCACCTGTATGTCATTGTTGTATGTGATGATATCTCTTGAGACTTATCATGTCTGTGCTTACGTAGGATGCAAGCTGGCCTACTGCCTCCAATATCACAGAGCCGATGGCTGAGGCGTTCTGCGGAGACGTCATTCTCAATGATATAATTGGAGCTGCATGCAATCAGATTATTCCAGACACTGTTAAGTACGCTGTGCAGGCTTGTGTGAAAGATATTCAAGTAAGTACAGCAGTGGATAGCTTACCGCCAGTGGTAGATCCTCGTTCTCTTCTGTCTGTGTCTTTTCTCTGTCTGTCATCTTAATTACTTTTCACCTGTGTGGCCATTATAGTTCCTATTTGAGTGTTTTTGGGGGGGTTTTTGTTATATTCTTTAAAACTCAGTGCCCGACGCACTGTGGTGAGTTATATGTTGTTTAATGTAAGAAGTGTTAGGTTGAAGAAATTTTTTTTTTCAATGCTTTAGTCAATCTGCCTGGTCATCCATTTTACAAGAAGGAAGTCCTCCTGGATGGAAGAGACACATTCCTACATTTACTTCCCCATATATTCTGGGGTTGAATCTTATCTAAGGAAGTAAATGAAAAGGGATCGAAAAACAGACAGGGTAGGAGGTTATGAATGAGTGAAAGGGAAGTCGTTTACACCCCACTCCATATTTGTCACTTTCTTTTGTTGTGACTCTAGCTAACACAGTCCTACTGCTGATGAATGCACTTGAACTAGAAGCTATGAGCTTTTATTAACCAATGCTGCAGTCATTGCAAGATTTTGTCACATGTAGTAATCAAAATTTCTGGCTCTGAGTGCAGTAGTAGTGCTTATAATTCGTGACCCCTCCTTAGATGTTCCTATTTTGCGGATAATGCCATAAAGATCTATCTCAGTTTATCACAATGTGTGCTGATAATGCCATAAAATTGTATCTCAGCTGACTACAATGTTTTGTGTTCCGAATTCTCAGATATCAGACGATCGTAGCTGGGCACAGAGCGCGCTGTCGACTGTCCTGTCTGTGTGCAGATACGAGCTGTTCAATAATCCAGCTCACTGGGTGAACAGCACAGGAACTCTCTCTATCAACTCTACCTTCATTGGTGGCATGTGCTTCAACCAGTGTTCTCAACATGGCCCTTGTGTTGATGGTATGAATACTTTACTATTTAAGAGCATTTGCACCACATATAAAAATCACAAACATAGCGTACTCTTTCATACAAAAAACACTCGAGCACAGTTCAGTATCAAAATAATTGACAGAGGACTAAATCTCATCTTTTATAGTGACTACTTCATTTAACACTTTGTGATCTCTTGCCGCAATAATGCGATGGGGAAAATTATCCGTTCCTATCACCTGTCACAGTTGTGCGACAGGCCCGAGAACTCCAGTGCAGTCACTCTCCTGGCTGGGTGACCAGATGGGGTATTTTGTACTGCTGGCTGTGTGACTGCAAAGTCTTAAGACTCCATCATAGGTCTTTTTTTTAAATGAAGAATGGTGGAGTCTTACGGTAAGCACTGGATATTATGTGTTACTCACGCCTATATATCTTTAGTGAGGCAAAACTTTCCATCAGCCCGCTGCACAATACAAAGCTTGTTACTTTTACCTTCTTGGTGATCAGATGATACCTCTTTGTGTCCTCTCTTTTTCACCGTTCATCCTGTGCTGTGATGTGTTGGTACAAATGTATAATGAACTGTTATAAACTTCTCAGGATTCATTTACACATTGCTTTTAGATAGCGCGACAAAAAACGACAACAGCAGCTGTAACAGCTATTCAAAAGTTAGATAACTTTTCTTTCAAACGGTCAATGACTCATTCCTAGCAATGCTTGAGAACAGAAGCAGTGCATCATAGAATGGATTCCTTCTTTTTTATTAAAAGATTAGATAATGCCTCTTTCAAATGGTCACTTATTCATTCCATAACAATGTTTGAGAACTGAATCGATGTGTTTTGAAATAGGTTTATTTCTTTTTTTAATCACCCTGTATAAGACAAACATTGCAAAACATAAATGAAGTGTATTGCCTGCATATTGTCCAGTTAAGTTATGAGAGAGAGAGAAAGATCATCTATTTTTATTTGTCTCTGATACCAGGTGTGTGTGATTGTGAAGATGGGTATGGTCTAGCTGACTGCTCAGTGAACACGGCAGATTCACCTGATATATACATGCTGGAAAATGATGGCCTTTGTAACATTCAAGACTCATCACAACGCCCCTGTGACTCAGTTCTTGTGACCGGCAGGGTATATGCATTTTCTGAGCAGCTGAAATGCAGACTACAGCCTATAAAGGTAAAAAGTACAGCTGCTATAGTCAGTCGTCTCAGGTTATCATGGAGAAATTACGAGTATATTAATATGGTTTGACCTGTTTTTGTAATGTTATTGTTTTAACTTAAATGTTGGCAGTTAAAAGGAAATTTATTTGTAAGCTTCTTTTTTTTTTCGACTGATAATAAAAAATGGAATCAATAGATAACACAAGATATTTAATGTATATAATGTAGGAGTGTTGCTGAGTGTACTTATGGGAAAAACAAATGGCCTGTAAAATTTTGTTTTTTTCTGGTAGTTGTTTAACGGGGCTCGCAGCTGCATAAGGTCATATGGGCGTGCGGGACACTTTTAAACGTTTTCAGTTTGGTAGGAATTTTGAATTTTGTGCGGTTGGCGGTGGATGCCTACTCTTATTGGTTTGAGGACCACTATGGGATCTTAAATATGCACAGCTTGCACACGAGATCTCCAAGATTTTTTGCCCTTGTCTGAGATCAGAAGGCTAAGTGTTAGATCTTACCTACCATAAGATCTGGGTTGTAGCTGAAAGACAACTGTAAGAAGGAGCCAAGGAGTAGCAGTAGAAAGGCTACAGAAAGAGTGGGGAGTCCAGAGGAGGAAGCAAAGGGGAGGAGGAAAATATGGAGGAAAAAGCAGATGACAGAACATGGTTTCAGAGCCGGAAAGGATGTGAAAAGAGAAAATTTTCCGTCATTGTCAGGTTTATTTTTATGTAAAATTCTATTAAGTGCATTTTTTTTTCATGGTTGTTCTCAGTCAGTACCATTTTTACCCCTCAGATAACAGAAAGCGACACTGAAGATGATGGCAAGCCCGTCACTGTACAGGCGGAGTACTTCTCTTTCCACGAGATCACATGCCCTTTGCCAGAGGCAAGAAGCTACAGAATACAAGTCACAAACAACAACGTGAACTTCAGTGACAGCTCTACCTTTACTCTTTACCATCCTAGGTGTCATGACTGTAGCTCAAGTGGAGTTTGTAAACTCACGGTAAGATTCCACTAGAAAATGGGTCGTTGCAATGTGTTATAGTACATTTTGGAAGTGGAGCCAGTCATAGAGCCTTGAGGTGTAATTCTCGATATTTTGGAAGGCTGGTGCATTTGTGGCTAATGACGCTTAAGTAGTCAAAGAATGAAGCTTTTGGAAACATCAAGATCTAGGGTTGAAAAAGTTGATGCCTTCAAATAAAATAAATACTGAATTTACTAAGAAAGTTTTATAGAGTGCTCTTTTCATATTGGTTCCCGTAGTAATTACTTTTTCTCTTTATGTCGTTAAGTGGGTAATCCTCAAAATAAAACCAAAATTACTGTGGCCTGTAAATATCATGTGTACTCTCATGATTATAAACTCCATAATTGCTATTGTGTATAAAAAGACAAGTACTCTTTGGTTAACTTATACTTTATAGATGACATCATGTCTGAAGGTATCGGTGTGAGACTACACTATAATCCTGAAAAGCTGCTTATTTTTTAATGCTGACTTACACATATGGAATACAGTGGAGTCTTCTGAAACCGAAATCTTTGGGGCCTCCTGGTTTTCTTCAGTTTAGATGCGTTTTCCGTTTAGAGAGGTTGCTCACATAGAAGAAAAAGTTATGGATTTTATTTTCTTTAGATCAACTGCTGTTTTCGGATTAACCATGTTCGGTTTAAGCAGACTCCACTGTATTTTCTTTTTCTAGGTTTGGTTGTTTTAGCCATTTACATAATATTTGTTCTCTTCTGCTCCTTTCCTGTGATTAAATCTTCTGTCATTTTGTTGATCTGTTAATGAGCAAAGACTTTTTCCCTTCAGTTCGAGAGCTGCTTCATTGACAATGAGTGCTTCTTGTATGGTGAGCCCAACCCTGCAAATGAATCCTTAGTATGTGACAACTACCAGTCTTACGACTCATGGAGTCTGCGGAAAGGTACGCAAAACTTAAATTTCTTATCGATACATGCTCCATTTATTGATATCATCTTAAGTTTTGGTCAAATCCTTTTAAAAAATGAGTTGCTCTGCAGGTTGAAGACCACCTCTGAGATCTAGCAAGGGAGCGCCAAGAAGAAGAAGATCTTAAGTTTTTATGCTATTTTAGGAAGAATGTTGGAGCAATAGGGATAGTGAAGTGTGCTGGGATGAGAGGAGGCTGAGGTTATGAATGCCTAGTGTCAGATGACTACGGAAATGTTATGAAAAGACTTCTCTGTGTTTGTGGGGGTAAAGAAACAATTGCTTATCTTGACTTTAAAAAATAGGACTATATTGCAAAACCCTTATAAACCAATATGAAAATGTTTTCCCACTCTTTCGTTTTTTGTCACAGAGTATCCATATGTGCGAGGAAATCCAGTGTTGTCTTCAAACTTTAATGACTCAACCCGAGAGTTTACATTCTCTTGCGAAGTCACCGTGCAGGAGAGGCAAGGTGTTGAGTACCTGATTGAGTGGCGACATAATGGGACGGGTATTGCAAAAGTCAACATTTCAGAAGTTGGGGTCAACACAACTGTTGCATTTCTGGACATATTGGATATTCCACAGTTTGCCCTTGGTTCTGATGTAAGTCTTCCTCATCATCATAATCATCATCAGTATCAGCATCATCATCAAACACCAGACAATTTTCTCGTTTTATTTTGTTCTTGGCGCATAACAATTAATACCATGTCGACACATTTTCTGTGTAACTCCCAAATGTTCAGCACCAAATAGGGACTAGGGACAAAAAAAAGAAACAATAAAAGTCTTCTCAAGTTTTACATTCCTCATAAGCCGATTGAACCAATTTGTGTGTGTGTGTGATTTGCTTGTTTTGTGTTTTGTTTTCTTCAAAGAATTTCAGTTGAAAAGTCCTATAGAAATCGGAGGGATTTTTTTTTCAGTTTGACCTTCATAGAATATGGATTTTGAAAGCAAGTGTCTTGTTGTTTTAACTCTTTCATTTCATTACGATGTGCCAACTTATTGGCCTAGTGGGTAGTTGGTGGTTGCTCTGGTGTTGTTTGTTCTTTCTTTCCTATAAAACATCTATCATTCTTCTCTTGTGAGACCTCAAATCTTCGGCATATATGTGGCCTAGTTGTGTTGCAAGTGGCGTAAAACACAATTGTTTGCCCATCATCTTCCTCATCACTACAACAAGCCATATCATTGACTCGTATGCCTCTATAAATACAGGAGCAATTCTGGCCCAGACTTTTGGAAATAATATCCATGTTTTGATCAAACTATTCCGTTTTTTTCAGATTCCTATATTAATTCATTTTCTTGAGATAAATAATTTATAATGTAATTTGTTAGTAAACAAATTGGTAAATCAATAGACAAAACTAAACATATGAATAAAACAGGTGCTTGCTAAGGAACAAATTGTGTCCAGGAGGGTAGAAAATTATATAACGAATGAGTCAAGGGTAAAGTGATTTTGTCCTTTTTCCTATTTAACTAGGACTCCTGAAGTCCATTTTATTGAGCGACACTATATCCTTGTGTGAGAAATCTAGCTGATGTCTGAAGATTAAGTTCAGTCTTAATATAATCCATTGTCTGTTTTTCACAGTCACGCTTTTTTGTGCTTTTATCGATGTATGATACTTAAATACAATGGCTGTTTCTGTTACTCTTATCTTAGGTATCCTGTGCTCTGACAGCTTGTTTTGCTGAGAATTGTTCAACTACTGAAAGTCCTCCAGAGGAGAGCAATTCTTTCACAGCTGCAATTAAGGTGAGACTTTAGGTCCAGTCATACTTTTTCAGTATCCATTTATAGCCAATCACTTACATTCAAATTTTGTTCAATGTTTTTCTACTGTGCGCTTTAAGTTTGGGATAAACCTGATTTCCTGATATGTTTGTGTCAAACACTAATAGAATCTTTGATGTGTTGTGTTTGGTTTCTTCACGGATTCTTAGTCTGTTTTTATTCCTGTGAGACCTTTATGTCATTTCAAAGAAAGACCTCTTCATTGTTGGTTTTTTTTAAGGATATCATATTTTTTAAAATTTGTGGTGGTTTTTGATAGACAAGAGCTTCAGTTCACACATCCAATGAACAGAGATTTGATCGGAAAACAAAGTCAGCACTGAGTTAAGACGACTTCCTTCCTCTTTCTTAAGGGGATATGGTTTATATGCCACAGCACACCATATATTGTTAAAGAAATGCGGAAGCTGTGTCATGAAGGACATTAAGACAAAGCAGCCAATGTAAGCTGGGAGAGGATCCAACTCCTTCAACTTTTTAAAGAATTTTCCTGGAGGCTTCTATTGTTATATGCAAATGTCATTTTGAGTGGGTGAATGGCTGATTACCTTTATATATCACCCTGTTTTCTTTTATCTGGATGTGTCAACTGAATTGATGAGATTTCTTTGTCTCAGAAGTTGAAAAATAAAGGTACTCTTCTATTTTGAAATGAATTGTAGATATCATTTTTGTAGTTCTGTATTTGTAAAATGCTTTGCCTTTTTCTTTTTTTACAAAACAGATAACTGATGAGAAAGTGACTGTGACTGAAGGCATGGGTCCAGCTACAATTTCTGCAGAGTCAAATGTTCCACCAAAACTATTGTGCGTTGGTGAAGACCCATTGCTTTGCAATGTTTTTGCAACTGTGCAAACAAATCAGCCAGAACCACTGACTTGTCCCAACAGTGATGCAGAAGTACCACAGTTGATTTTTCCCTTGCTAGAAGATTTCCCAGGTAGGCTAGCTGGGTGGTTGGAAGGCTCCACTGGTCAGTCCAATTCCCTTACTTTCCTTTCATTGTTTCTGTCAAACAGTCTTACTTATTCTGTGAACTAAATGATCATTATTGTGTTAGTGTGTTTCTCTGTTTAGAAATAAACAGGTTATACTGATAGATTAAAACATTCATACTTACTGTCATATCTGCTTCATTCCAGACCAATTTTCCCAAATTTAGGGTGGCCTGGAAAAAAAATCAGCTTAATACCTGAAACACTGATTGTTGTTTGCACCTAGATTTTCAACAAATTTTTATGAACATTTACTTCAGCATTCTAATTTGAGTGTAATGGTGGGTCAGAACGACAGACTGAGAAGTAAAATGTTCTGCAGTAGGGAAAAAACAAGATCAACTGCCTCTGCGTCCCAGTCCCTAATAGAAAGAACTGTCACTAGTTGAGATTACAAGAGAATTGAGTCTAGCAACGGGTGACAGTTTTTGGTAAATCCACTAATTCAGAAAGTTCTCTTGTGAAACTGAACAGATTTCCACCATTGATACCAAGAGTCTAATCTACTCTTTAAAACAAAACAACTGCCCAATAGAACACGCTTCCCTTTAATGCGAGTATCAGAGTTAAGATTTTAAAAACTTGCGTGTGGTGTATAAAAATGTCTTTTGGAAGCACACTGCTGACCTACATACCTTACATTTCACTTAGTTAGTACATCTGTTTATGGGTATTATTATTGATTCAGGTATCACAGAATGCGGTGTGCAGTACAGTGAATGGCCCGGCATTGTTAAAGTGCCAGTCAAAGCTGCACTAGATTCTTTGATTGATGGTGATGTGACAAGGCTTGTGGAAGTAGCTGTTCAGGTCGAGTACAACATGACAGTGGAGGTTTTGTCCGCGATTGGAAAGAAAGAAGTGAGTAGGGCATGTACTAACTGATGAGATCATTTCTTGTCATATTGCTTGTTCATTTTCTTAAAGTCATAAAACAAAAAAAATATTTGTTTTAACTTTTTCAGTACTAGTGTGCAAGGGATTCGACTATGTTACGCTCCTAATTTGATGGTTTTACTTTAAAACGGTTTTAATTCAGTCAAATATTGATTTTTTTTTGTTTGCGTGAGTTGTCAAACTATGTGTAATTCAACAGAGAATCACAATATGGTGAAAATAGGTAGTACATGTAGCACAGGACGAGGTGTAGATCTTGGGTTTGACTAAATCAAGTGGCAATCCGGAATCAGAGAGTTAAAAATATGCGTCTTGCTATTTGACTGATTTACGTCAGATACAGTCCTTGATCAGTTTTAGAAAATGTTCAGTTTACGTCAAATTAAAAGTCTTTATTTTCAAAACATGTCTTAATGACTCTTAAAAGTCTCTGGTATACATGTCCAGTTACATAGACAGGCCCGTTTATTCTAGGCAAGTCAACTATTTTTAAAGAATTTATTAGTTGTTCATTCTTCAAGTTTTAGAGGGACCCAGGCAAGTCTGAAACTTTGAAAAATTAGTATAAACCTTGGACAAGTTTAATGTCAAAGTGTGCAGTGTCCGTTGCTTAGAAGTACTTCCACATTTTAATTTTTTTGCATTGACCTCCATGTAATGACAATGACAATGACAATGACAATCTTTATTCATCTCGCAGGGAGAAATTTGTCTTGGTCGTTAACAATGGCAATAGACGTTACAAAAGTTAGACTTACAGGTGCACTCACGCAAACGCACAACAAGACAGGACATTATGCCAAGTAAATACATGTCTCACGGGCTGGGACAACCCGCTCCGTAACACATTCATTCTCTCTCTCTCTGTTTCATTTGTAGCACTGTGTGTTCAGTAACCTCACTGCAGTTGGTACGAATGAATTTCTATATCTGTCTGTTCTTGCTTTTTTGGAACTGTATCGTTTACTGCGGGTCGATAGTTGAAATTCCGATGTCAGTGGGTGGCTATGGTCACTAAGCATTATTTCCGCCTTTTTTAGAATGTTTGTCTTGTGCAGATATTCAAAGTTACTTAGGTCTCTACCAATTGTTCTTGATGCCTTTTTTATCAACTTATTTAGTTTTATAATGTGCTGCCTTCCCAGATTGCTACCATAGCAAGTGATTCCAAAATTTATCAAAGTTTCTATTGTGGTGGTGTAGAAAATCTGAAGGATTTGTAATAATCTACAATCCCTCGCACCTATGCCAAGAGTCTGTCTGCACTTGATTATTTCAAGGGACAAACAAGAATTTTTACTGATATTCACATTGAATGTTTTGATTCTGTATTATTTGATTCTGTATTTTGTAGGTGCTCATCATTGACAATGATTCCGCAACTCTGTGTGCTTCAGTGAATGACCCGCACATGACAAGTTTTGATGGAAGGTGAGTGGAACTGTCTTCATGTATGTTTACTTGTCCTGACTCATGGTTTTGAGTATTTCTTTCAGTTATTTAGGCTGCATAAATTGACAGAGAAAAGTTTGAAACTTTAGAAACTTAAGTTTGTACTTATGGTACTCTTCATGATTCATGGTTTTTGAGTATTTCTTCAGATATTTACTTAAACTGAGAAAGAAAAGTTTTCAAATTTAGTGACATGAGATGGTACTTTATGCTACTACCTTCATATAGATAGCAAAAATTATCAAAATTTAGTTTTATTTTGTTCATAGGTTTTTAGGGAATCATTGTACATTATGCTGCTCCTGTGAACTTTTTACACATCTATTCACAGAACTTATGATGTGTATTTAGAGGGAGAATTCATCCTGTACCAGCACTCCTCCATGATGTATGAGGTAAGTGATATAATGTTTTAAAACCCTTAGTACTCACAAACATTTTCTACACTGACTGTTCTGTACTGATTTCCCCTCAAGACCTTATAACTGAAGCTGCGACTTCTAAGGAGTCTCCTTTAATGCTCTAGCAACCTTCAAGGATTTTAAAACGTGTGTTTTGTTACACTTTCAACATTTACACATCTGTACTTTTTTTTTTTTTTTTTAATGAAATGCTAAATTAGAGCAAGCCTGGTTTGATGACTTTAACTAATATGACTCTTTATATTCATCCATAATATTTAAGTAGTGTACATGAAATAATAAGAGCTTCTTAATTAAATGAAGAGTGTTTCTTTTTCATTCAAGCTCTTATTTGCTCATTAGGAGTTTATTAATAATAATAGTAAATTGTGTCATATCAAAAACGTTCTAAAAATGTTTGCAGCATTTCTATTTTATGGTTCTGCTTCTTTTTCCAGGTACACAGTTTTTACCGCAAATGTAACAAAAACAGAGCTGCTTGCAACTGTGCAGTCACTGTCAAGTCTGGAGATGATGTCATTTTGATTGATCGCTGCGGGGCGAAAAGTGGAACATCATCTCAGCCCTTGGAAGTTAAGATCCTGAAAAATGGAGAACTGACACCTAATACAAGAGTTGTACAGCTTTTGGAAGGAAGGAAGTACAAGGTTAGGAACGTGTTTGGCTTGTCCTGCTCAGAAAACAATGTGTAATTTGTTCCTTCATTCTGATTAAATATTTATCATCATTACCTCTTCTTCTTCTTTTATGAGTATGTTGATCTCAAGTAATACCTCTTATCTCCAGACCTGATAAGAACATATTATTGTGTTGCAAGTGCCATTAAATTTGTCTGAAAACTAAAACTAAAGATAAGAACTCTTCATTTTTTCCTTTCTATGTACCGAACAGAATGTTGGAATTATAAATAGATGCTAAAAATTCATGTTAAAATGTATACCTTGTGCACTCATCCTTTGCATTTTCAATACCAGATCAATATATATAAGTAGTTGAATGATTGTAATAAAGCTATTTCTTTTGAAGGAGAATACCATTTTCATCATACATAGAAGACATGAATATATTTTCAAAACTCCTTTTTTTGGGTCTTTTTAACCCTTTGAGGCCTTGCTCTTGAGTTTACAGGACTGGGCACCCTAGATCAAAAGGGACGTCCGCAAGATCTTTACTTCTGCACAGAAGGGTTTAAGCTTTTTCTGCTGCTTAATGTGTATAATCATCTTTATTCAATATACCAAACATAAAGACTCTTAGAATGCAATGTGCAAAATGGGAAATGCAGAGACACTGTGCAACAATGAAAGGAACTTACAAGTCTCGATCCTAGGTGAATCGCAGCCTTCTTCTCTTTCTCTTCCCCTGGGAGTTCCCTGGGAGGATAAGCATTACAATTTTTATTTCACTGGTTTTGAACATCTGTGTCTGTCTGTTGCTTTCTTGGTCTTTATCCCGGCTCCTCCCCAAATCCCCCTTCCCCTCCTCCTTTTTCCTCTCCTGTCTATGTTCACATACTTTGACTTTCACTTTTTCATCTGTCCAGGTGATATTACCTACTGGCACTGAAGTAAAAGTGAACGTGGCTAGCGACTTCCTCAATGTCTGGATACAGCCATCTGCTGCTGACTTCAATAGCTCCAGAGGTGAGCCAGTTTGTTCTAGCCAACAGGAAAGAATAATGTGGAGTTTCTCTGATTCAGGGTATTATTTTATCCTCAAGATAATGCTAATTGTCAAATAACTGTCAGATTTTTTACGGTCTTGGGAAAGTTGTCCACAATTATTCAGGAGCAGTATTTATTTTTAAAAATCAAATTCATCTAAGTATATTGAGGGTGCAAAATTCTCTGTATTGGCAACTTGAGTGTGTAATTTATGTATTTTTACATGCAAGCCTTTTCTATTTGCTAGATTATTAGTGAACAGTCTTGTATGAATTTTATGGAAAAAATACTGTTACATTTTTTAATGCTTTACATTTTCACTACAAATATTTCTTGGTATTGCTCTCTACATTTTAAAAAATTGCTATACTCTGCACTTGCCTGTGTGATATTGTGTAAGGCACCTGCATGTCCAGCCTTAAATCTTCTAAGTACCGTTTAAGACAGGAGGCTAGTTTAATAGGCTACATAGAACATCACTCATAACTTCTCATCTGTTTCAGGCTTGTGTGGCACCTACAACAAAGAAAGTGATGATGACCTTACTTTACCGTCTGGCAGTATCTACCCAGGAGATGAACGACAGCCTAATTCCTTCTCACTCAGCTGGAGGTAATTGCCCTATTAACTCTTTTCAATTTTCAATTTAATTTTTAAAGGAGATCAATAAAGATTAAAGATATTTCAGGAATTTTTGACAGGTGGAGGAAGTAACAAGGAAGAAGAGCGGATTCCATACTTTTTGTTGGCTCTCATCTGATGCACAGAGGCTGTCCTATAATTTCATGTTGTATTTAAGAAAGAGATGGAAATTTGTCCTGTAATTTCACATGTATTTAAGAAAGAGATGGAGAAAGTGTCAGACAGCCTCCATCCACAAGTTGTAAATCCTCTCTCAATTGATTTTTTTTCAAGAGGATCATTAAATTGTCACAAATTGTAAGGGGCAAGTACTCAGTAAGTTCCACAGTGTCATATTTGATTGAAGTGAATAGTCATCATAAGTCAAAAAATTTATTTTTTTTTATGGTCAAGTATAACTGAATGGAACCTGGAGAAAAGTCACTGAGAAGGATGTACGGAAAAGTGGGAAGACATGGAATAATATCAAAAAGCTAGCCCAGGATAAGGAAAGGTGGAAAGGGTTTGTTCGTGGTCTATACCCTGATGCAGGGGGAGAAAGGCAATGATGATGATGATGATAACTGCATGACTCAATGGGATAGTTCTTTATTTTGGTTATATTTCCCTTGATTCCATGCCTTTTATGCTTGCCTGTTTAGCCTTTTCGTCATTGTCAATATTTTTACATTTCTAGTACTTATATTAAGATTTTTTTTTTATGTACTAGATTTCTGTACAACTAAATTTCCATTTCAGAGTGAACGCATCCCAGTCCCACTACAGGGGTGTCTGTGCTGAATCTGACGCCCCCTTAAGGAATCTTAGCATTGTTTGTCAGTGTTCAGTGAATGGCACTAGCTGCATTCCTGATCTCGGAGTGTCCAGATGTTTGCCATCAGGGGATAACCCAAATAAGAATGGGCAAGGTGAGATAAAAGTGAAAGAGGATGTTAAGAAGTGATAAAAGCCTTATATCACCTTTTTAAAAGTTACTCATTTGTTTGAGACCTTTGAATTAATGAAAAATTAACATTTAGCAGTTATTCCTTTATTATTGCATATTTTGTAGATTCTGAACAAGTTGTACTTGCATGTTGCTTCCTAGCTGTATGATAAATCATTAGTGATAGTCGTCTATTCAAGCTAGCTTTTGAAAGATGTACACTGGCAATTTGTTCAGTGTATAACAAGCTCTTTAGAATGGTCTTTAAAAATGTCCAGGAAGGTCTACTGTTTATTTCGTATGTATGTATTAATGGGTATCCCAATTTAGACAATGAAATATCTTGTCCGTTTGATATTGTTTGAGCACTTTACTGGCTGCTTGCTCTTTATGCTTCCCAGGAAGCTAAGAATGTTTTCAAGTTTTTAGGGTCTGCTAGGGTAATAGTATAAATTGTAAAATGCCTAAATTTTGCTGATGAACAGGTATATGCGCAATACAAATGTTATTATTATTATTATTAATATTATTTTATTCTGCTACTTTCACAACTTCCAATAAGTAGGCCTAGACTCTGTCTGGGAACTCAGTTAAGCTCTTAAAATTCATGAGGCTTTTAGCGTTTAGCATAATAATTTTCACTTTTGTCAACTTAGATTAGCTGTATGCATTCGTTTGAATCAGATTTGATGGTTCAGATAGCCTATATAGAATAGAACAGAGAGAGTAAGAACTGTCTTAAATGTAATGCATATTCCTTTGTTGTCAGGTGTGGATGTTACAAGCTCTTTGCTGAACAGCAGTGTTCAGTCATCAGGCTGCAATAATCTGGAACAGTTTGAGTATGAAGAAGACTATGTTTCTGGAGTAAGTATCGGGAAACTTATTTTGAGTTGTATCTATAGTTTGTGAACCCACGAAATAGATTAACTTCACGCCACTTTATCTACGCCTGACGTGAACAGAGATGGACAGAGGTTTATGTTTCAGGGTAAATTTGTCTCACAAAATGAACAATTGAGTCATAGGAACTGAAACTTTTTGTGCTTCAGGCTTATATATCATTTTAAGTTCCCATCTACCAAGTACTCACCAAAACATGAAGTTGGTTTATTCTAAAATGATTTCTCAAAACTTCAAAACACACACTCACAAACGCACACATACCCACACACACACACACACGCACACACACACACACACTCACGCACATACACACACATGCACTTTTTTCAGGGTGGGCGGGAATTAGATGGTGAATTGAGCGATGTCTGACTGTATTTGACCTAACACAATAAATAAAATATCTGACTGACAATTAATGTTCAACAGTTTTTAGTGGCCAAGCTGGTAATCGAGGAATTAGTCTGGTAAAACATTGTATACCTGTCTGGTCTTCTGCCACTGGTTTGGCTCCAACAGAAATTCGATTTTTCAGGATTAATAAAGCCTTTGAAATTACATTTCACAGTGCCATGGCAATTGAAAGAGAAATACGGTTGTAATATTTCTTATAAGATTAGGGTAACTCCTTGCTATGACCAAACTACTGAAAGTTTATATTTCCTTGTCTCCAGAACTTCTCATGGCCAACACCATCTGGATGGGAAGAGGAAAATGCAACAGATTTCTGCGTGAAGTTTTTGATGAAGTCTGAAATTGGTTTCAAGTGTGCCAACAAATTCAGCGTTGACTTCAACAGAACAGTGAGAGGATGTGTCAGTGACATTCAGGTACAGCTCTTCCTTGATTGTTCTTTGGTAAAACCTTCCAAGTGTTGTTTTGATATATTGAAATCAAGTGTTTTTATTTTCTTTTATTAAATATGCTTTGAATAGTATAACCTTTAAAAATAACAGCATGTTGTTGTTTTCAAACCCGTTTAGCTGCGAGCATTTCACTCTTGGCAGTGCAATGCCTCCCTCAAGAAATCACATGTCCTTGTCATCTGGTCAACGCCAGAGTAGAGCAGGCGTTATAAGTCTGTAGGTGTGTGTAGGAGTCTGCGTAGAAGAACTGCCAGGTTTGGGCAGTGAAGGAGAAGATGTTCAACAGTCTCCTTGTGGTAGTCACAGTGTCTGCAATGGGGTTCCCCCTTGGGGTTAATTCTGTTAATGTGCTTGTTGGTGTGTGTATGTGCCATGTGCGGGCTCTGAAGACCAATGTCTGATTGGTGGCTCTGCCTAAGAGGCTCGAAAGGTCTTTGAGTTTGGGTTTGACCATGTACCTGAAGAGAGATTTTCCTGTTTCTGCGTTGGCCCATCTGTTTAGCCACTCATCTCTGCAAATATCAGCATAATACGGTAGAAACTGTCTGTAAGTCGGCCATCCATTATCAAAGAGAAAAGTGGCTGTGTCACACAGTGTTATTGCAATGTAAAAAATACCAAAGGAAAGGAATAAGAAGTAGCCATTTGTTCAGATGATTGTCTTGTACAGGTGGCAGTAAGAGCAGGACTGTTCTCAGTATCATATTATATTATGGATTTAATACCTCCTTCTATTCAGAATGTTGAGGAAGCGCCCAGACCTCCAAATTAATGTCTTTATTCAGCAGAACCAAGCCAAGCGGATTAACACCATGGACAACACCCCCTCCCCCCCCCCTCCGATTTAAGTTCAGGAATGCCCATTTGGGGATAAAAATGAGTCACTCGCTTCTTAGGGAAGCATGATACCAACTAAACTGAAAGCATTCTTATGATATTTGCACATTCAGTGTACAAAAAGGAGATTCACTGAAATAACATTCATTCAAGATTCACTCAAAGATGCAGTTTGAAAAAAGTGAATTACCAGGTACTAGTATTTTTAAACATATTTTTGCAGATAATGGATGACACTGTGTATGCCATTCAAGCACTGACAAGCCTTTTGGAACAGTGTCTTAGCAGCATCTCACGTACTGTCGAGTTCTGGATTGATATGAAACCAGACACAGAATTTCTCAATCTTTTGTGCCCAGAAGATTGTAATGGCAATGGAAAGTGTACTAATGGTATGTAGTATCGTTTGTATTATGTATAGTAATTTTTTAGAAATCCTGTAGAGTGAGAATTTCCTCTAGTCTACTTCAAGAATGGAAAGAGATGACATTTATGATTTATTCTATCTCTCAAGAGTGCAGTTATTATGTACAAAATAAAATACTGGGGAGATTTAAATATCATGTCATTAACAGGAACACATGCTTTTGAATACCAAAGAATTGTTATGGGTTTTAGTTGTTGGCATTTTTGGTTAAGTGTGTTGTAAAAACAACAAACAGAGACATTTCCACGGGTTGTAAGTATGAAACTTCTTTTTTTTTAATAGGAAATAAAATACCAGAAAATTTCTATTGACAGAAATGACAGTGTAAAGATACATTTCTCACTCTTCAGTTTTATTAGTCCTTCTGGTTTCAGACTGAAACTTTTTGATGGCAGAATAAAGCAATATCTTTTTTTGGACAGTATTATTTGTTTGCTTCTTTAAGTTCTCGTAGTTAGATTCCCTACAAAGTAGCCTGTTAAAAACAATGCAAACAATGGGATGTATATTTTCACCAACCTGTGTACTCATTTAAAAGCTCCCATACACTTATCCGTGCAATGCACACATGTGCACATACAGAAGCACTGATTCACATTCCTTCTCATATATTTCATAGAAGTCGGGCATGTGGCCATTCAAGATTATTTCAGTGGAGTCTGCTTAAATTAAATACAGTTCATCTGAAAATAGCAGTAAAAAGAAAAGAAAATCCCTACATTAAAAAAAATTATATTTGAGCGACATCTCTAAACCCAAACCCGGCTAAAATGAAGAAAATCCAGTTGTCCTGCAGGTCTCATTTTTTTTGTTGGGAAATGAAAAAATTATTTTTTTAATGTACTTCATGGCAGCATATACTGACAAAGCATGTATAATTCGCCTAATTGTATCAATGTTGCAGGTTTGTGTGTTTGTGAAAAGGACTATGGAGGAGTAGATTGCTCTGTGGATCTGACAGTTGCTCCAGACCTGGCTGTGCTGTTGCCCTCGGTTTCATGTGACGTCAAAGATGAAGACTGCTCGGAAATTATTCTTATTGGAGGACCTTTCGTCAACTCAAACAGCCTGATTTGCATATTCCAACAAATTGATGTGAGTTTGAGCCCATGTCAATGTTAGAAGTTCTTCTTGTATGAAGTTTGAGCTATAGATATTAAAAGGGGATACAGTTTAGCATGCGCATAGTGAAGAAGTACATAATGAAGCGTGCACATGGCAAACAGATTTTCAGGTCTTTAAAATCGTTCTTTTACAAGTCATGTTCTGTTTATTTAAAACAGGTGAAGGCCTATAACAAAATTGGTACACAACAAAAAGATTTCCACACCCCATCAATTTCTCTATGCGCGTTGTAAACTGTTCCTCAATAAACAAGGCCCTAACTGCCAGCAACACAAAGCATCATTTTCATTATATGTCACTACTTGAGATTTTATGTTTTAACTTGTGACAATGTAGAAGTTGTACAGTGTGAACATAGAGGTTTCAAAGTTCACAGGTCTGAATACTATTAAGCGCTGGATTTCCCTTCGCATTAGGCTTGAATATTTTTTTAATTACTTTTTTATTCTCCTGTGAGCTGCAAATTTCACATATTTCATTGTCTAACCAGTTATTTTTGTTTTCTTTTTGTTTCAGTACTTTGATGGAATTTCTTACTCCGAGAGAGAAAATGGGACGTACTTGGTGCAAGCATCTTTCACTACTTACGAAAGGATTGAATGCAGACTTCCTTTTATTGGGAGTTTCACTGTCAAAGTCGAGAACTCTCTGGGTGTTGTCAGCCAAACCATAGTGCGTCAAGTCTATAACTCAGAATGTTTTAGCTCATGTGACGACAAAAGATGTGTACTTGAGGTACGTGTAATATACATTCCACCTGCTTATTGTAAGACTCTGCCATACGCTATTTTGAAAATTGTTCAGGAGAAGTAAAAAGCTGATTCATTGATTTATTACCTTTTTGTATGAAGCAGCTACTTAACCAGTAATTGTAGAGAGCTTCTCTTTTTACACAGTGTGTCCCACGATGCTGTTTTCAATTACATGTTAAAAAAATGGTTTTCGCAAAAAGTGTTGTGTGACAGAGTCTTACAATGAACCATTGATTTGATGTCCTCAACTAATTTCTTAGACCTTATGTAGACTGAGGACCACATTTGTAATTTCTGTGTGCTTTTCTTAAAGAGGGATTGAAATTTCAAGCTGTGTCCATAAAAAAAGCAATAGGTATAAAGCAACACAATTACTTTCACTGTCTTCTCACTCTCAAAAAGGGATAAAATATAGTTAGCCTATATTACATATAAGGGAGGAATTGAAAAAAATTAAGAGTCACTTTTCAATCTTGAAGTTGACTTCTCTTTTGAGGAAAACCAGTCTTAGAGTTGAGCTGTTCGTTGAATATGGACCTTTTCATTGACATGAATGTAGACAGGGCTTAAGTATTCTGGAACTTCTTTTTTTGTTGTTGAATCAGCTCTGCACTGATGCCTGTTGTGTCACAATTAAGCACTTGGCCCCCGCATACAGAAGACCTGAGTTCAATTTCCGTGTGAGGAGACTTTTGATTGAGTATCTCGGTCTTTATGCTGTGATGTTGTATCTCTTTCTGCCTGCATTGGCCCTGACAGACAGGATCAAAGTGGTCTAAATTGTGTCAATGGGGGCATAAAATCATTGACATTAAAGAACTTTTTAAAAATTAAGTTCTGGGCCATGCCTGCTCTCCAGTTGCTATGAGAGATCTTGGGGTTTTTTTGTGCAGGTAAATTATTGGATTGAGTTAACAATGTTTATCAGGCTAGTCAGCCCATTGCTAGAAACTTACAAAAATTATTGCTTAGATTCTGGCTCAGGTTGAAAATAGAATCCCAGCTTATAAACTATTTAATGTTGTCTTGTGCCTACGTAACTTTTTTCCACTGAATCAAGTCTTGTATAGATTCTGCAGTCTGTTTAAATATCTCAACAGCCAAAATACTGTTTCATTGACAACGAATGCTATCGAGTCAACGAAATCAACTCTGATGATGTAGACCTGGTGTGTGACCCACAGAAGAGTTTGTCTCACTGGACGGACAGAAATGGTAATTTCATTTATTTATCCCTTAAGTTTTTAATATGATTTTTCTTACCATTCACATTTACAATTTGTTGCAAAAATTAGTATCTGAGAAGTAAACAAGATTGCTTCAATATCTTCAAGGGTAAAATAATCCCTGAAGTCCTTGACATGAACCAGTGCAACGTATTAATGTCAATTTTTTTTTCTGAATCATTTGAATTAAGCTTGACTTTATAATGACCAGTCAGTATTGAGATTGATTGAAATAATTATGTTTACCTTCTAAATTCTGGGACTTTGTGCCTTACCTATCCCTTGTTTTTGTTTTTTCCCTTGTTTCTGTATTGAAGTTTTATTTCGTATTTATGTTTTTGTTCTCTTTATATTGACTTAATAAGACAACAGTATTAATTTGATTTAACTGTCTTATACTCAGCTTGTGGTCATTTCCTCTTCGAATGAAAACTTACTTCTCTCTCTTTCTTCTGGAAACTTCAGAATATCCCAGGCTGGATGCACTACCAGAAATAGAAACACGCTTTGACTTCAATACCTCAATGTTCTACTTGGGGTGTGACTGGTCTGGTTTCACTGATAATGACACCACTTTGACAGTGTTTGCTCAGTGGTATCAAGAAGATGAATTCATTGCAGAGGAAGAAATAGAACGTAATGTCACTAGCGCAGAAATTTCTCATGTCAACTTCACTGGACTGGCTTATGGAAAGAAGGTGAGGCCAAAAAAAAAATACAGATGACATGTAAGAAGCTTACAAAATGTTTGTTTCAGTATATTTTGCAAGTTTTACAATGTGTCTGCCTTGAATTATCAGCTTTTTTTCCCTGTGAATAATGAGTTACATTCTCCAGCTTCTACAGAGACGCAGTGACATAATTATATTCATTGCTCTTTATGAAAGTAAGTAGGTTAAGCATTTTACGAAATATTGTCTGAAGGAGCCTTGAAGCAACTTGAAGTGGAATTGCAATACAGAACATGCAAATTAGACTCTCTTCCTTTTAAGTCTTTTATGGTTCCTTGAAACAGTCAGATATGGCTGTGTATGACTGTCATCGACTGATATGAGCTGAGTATGAAACTCCTTCCTTGAATACTATAAGTTTTATAAATTAGCTTAAAACTTAATTTGGCACAGATGAACTACATATGCCATAATAACCAATTGGCAAGTTAGATTTGTGATACTTATAAGAATATTCTATTGGTAACTTTTTGATTTTCAAATACGATTTCTGAAAAGGAAACCAAAAGTATCTCATCATCAAGTGCCAGATCTGTGACAGACATCAGCGATCATGGTTCTCCCTTACTTCCTTTGCTCGGATGCTCTCAAAAAAGCTACTTTATCCTGATCTTTCCTCATCACCTATCTGTTTAGGCTCTCCCAGTAGGTTGCTCTGGGTCTGCCTCTGCCCCATTTACCTTCAATTATGCCAGTGATAGCTAAGTTTTCAAGGCCTTTTGTCTATTCAAGTGTCCCAGAAACTGCATTTGTTTTTTCCTGACTTTTTTTTACCAGCAGTGGCCCATGTGGGCTTCTTCAAGTACTGCCTCATTTGATTTCTTTTCCTTCCAAGAAATGTTCAGCTGTCTCCAAGGAAACCACATTTCTGTTACTTCTATTTTCTTTTCGCTTGAACGAGTTAGGCTCAAAAGAATCAATTGTCTTTGAGAGTGACATCAGCACACTTAGGTCACGACATTATGTACTGTTTTCAGCTCTCCAGATATCAATGAAAAGCATCTCTCTGATCCTTCCTGCCTAATGTACAAAGTTCATGTAAGAAGATACAGTATAACACGGATAGCTCAAATTCATCAGGACTGGCTTCCGTAGTTCGAGGGATCCGTAGTTCGAGAGATATCTTACAAAGATAGAGAAGAAAGAAAAATGGGACCACAGGCCCAGTTTGACGGATGCGTGATTCCGAGTCTTCTGTGTTCAACCTATCCGTGTTATACTGTAGTTCTTTTTTGCTAAAGCACACCAGTTTGATACTGGAGTAATCTTTCTGAACAATTTGGCTGATTTCTTTTTACTGTATTTGACATTCATGAGAAAATACTTTTGGAAAAGACAAGTGATGAGAAGAAGCTGCTCTTTTCCTCTTGCAAAGATACAACAGTATCTCTGTTCAAACCTTCTCAACTCAAACAAACAAACAGACGTACACACAGAAACACGAGTGCTCTTACTCACACATGTATTAACACATGTGCACGTACATGCATGCATGTGGGTGGTTGGCAGGTGCTTTGATGTGGTTTGCTCCGTCTTTTTTATCAAACAACTATAGTCCTTATCTCTCCTCTTTCCTTTTTTGTGTTTGTTACTCTCTTGTAACACCTCTATTCTTCGGCAATTATATTATCTTATTGTGTTGCAAGCACCGTAAATGTCTTAAAACTCTTACTAAAACTAAACATGCTTGTGGACATACATGTTCACTTTTAGAAGGACAAATGCATGTACATCTGCAGGTACTATTATGCGTACATTTTTTATTGAAATTTGCACTTACAAAAGTAGGTGCAACCTTTCACTCAAAAATGTAGTTACCATAATAATTTTTCTGACTTTTCCTGGTGTAGGTGTATTGTGGGTTGGTTGCCTGCATAACCACCAGATGCAACGAGACAAGGAGTCCCTTGATCAAAAGTGAGGATTTTGTGCTTGAGATCAAGGTAAGCTATTGCTTTTGGTTGTTGTTTTTTTATGTAGTCCACTGTCATTTGAATTTTACAGTAGGGTTTTTTTTGTTTCCCTCTTGTACATGATTAATTCACATGTCAATGAGAAAGCACTTGCAGGCTTGCCAGCTGTCCCGAATTTCCCGGGATTGTCCTGAATTCGCCTGTTGGGATTTTGAGAGCCCTATCACATATACTACCCCAAGACCAATCCCATTTGATGTAATTTTGCTCTTCGGTAGGTAATCTGATGTTAAAAGGTTTGGTGTCCCTTATTGGGTTTTTAGAAATTTGGCAAGCCTGCACTTGTGATTTTCATAGAAATGGGCAGCTTCAGCAAAGCCTGGGATATCTCTGACTTGAAGTATTTACCTTTCTTTTCTCTAAGAAATCCAAAAAGAAATGAAAGGGGACAAAATTGTGGTAAGCTGTTTAGGGCCATCGGACTAAACTTGAATTGCAAAAAAATTTGCTCTCTATGTGCCAGAAAATTGTGTGGGGTTTTTGTTGGGGGGTTTTTTTTTTAGCCTTCCCTTTTTACTGAGACTGTATGCAATTGATAGCTGATGTGCATTTTTCCTTATTGTGACTCCAATGCTCTTAAATTCTCAATTTTTGAAAAAATTTGCCTTTTTATTATTTTCTTTTGGCAGATCGTGAATCCATCTGTAGAAATTCAAGAAGGAGAAGACAAAGCCATCAGGGTGACCTCTACTTTCCCACCAGCTGTATTCTGTGATGTCGACACGAATGTTTCCTGCAGCATTTTCATAGGCTTTGAGGTCCAACACTCTAAAGATGATATCGTCTGTCCTGTCACCAATGAGACAGTTCCCCAACTAGTTTTCTGGGGACTTTTGGACAACTCTGCCGTGTCATGTGGTGTAGTGCTCACTAACGAGAACTGGCAGACTGCTCTGTCAGTTCTTGTCAGGGCTGTGGTGGACGGAAAGACAGATGGTGATCAGGAACGGAGCGTCAATGTCACTGCAGTGCTCAGTCACACAATTACAGTGTCCCTGCAGACATTCACTGTAAGCAATTTTTGCTAGGGCAATTTTTGTACTTGAAAAGTAGTCGTACTTGTTGGCAGCTTCGTTATTCATGTATGTTGGATACTTTCAATTTACTTTGGGGCAAGGACTTTACTTAAATTTCAAATAGTAAAACTTTTACCCGAGTAGGATAAAGACATGAATACTTTTGAGGTGTTCATAACTGATGCTGCTTGAAAGCGGCCAAGTCGATGTCAGGAGGTTATAGGTTAAATTAACTTCTTCTAACTAAGCAAAGATGCTGTCCCTGTGTGGATCAACTTGACAGAAGAAAAATGTAAATAATTTCCAATGTCCAAATCATCCGAGTTTGTAGTATATGTAGTAAAACATGTGAAACAGAGCGTCACTGATGCACATTATAATTTTCATCTTGTGCCATGAGTAAATACTGTACTCTAATCAACAGTAGTGGGCATCTAACCAAAAGAACCAGCTAGCCAAAAGTAGTTGGGGCTCTCGTGGCCTAGAGGTTAAGGTGTTGGCCTCTCATTCAAAGGTCCCGGGTTCGAATCCGGGTAGCGACCGAAAAATTTTCTTCTCTAAAATTGTCTCCTTTCACCTCCTTTCCTGCTCTCTAGCAATGTTCTGTTGCCTGCTTTCATTTCCACTTTCTGCCCCCACCCCCTCACCTCCTTTGCCCCCTCCTCTGGGCTCCTGACTGTTTCTGCAGCCTTTCTACTGCTACTCCTTGGCTCCTCCTTACTGCTGTCTTTCTGCCACACCCCTGATCTTCTGGTAGGAAAGATCTACACCTAGCCTTCTCGGACAAGGGCGAAAAATCTCGGAGGGCCCGTGTGCAAGTTGCGCACGTTAAAGATCCCTTGGTGGTCTAAAATCGATAAGAGTAGGCTTCGGCTGCCACCCGGGCAAAATTCAAAATTTCCTACCAACTGAAAATATTAGGAGTGTCCCGCGCGCTCATATGACCTATGCAGTTGCGAGCGTCGTAAAACACTTTACAAAAACAAAAAACAAAAACAAAAGTAGTTGTCAGCAGAGCCTTTGATTGAAAAAGAAAATTGTAATCAGACTTTATACCCATACTAGTCACTGTTAGTCTAATACTTTGACACAGAAGGAATGTATACTTCGTCATTCATGATGCCTAACATCTTTTTTCTGGTTTTCTCAAAAGGTGAAAGTCATTGATTCTGACCAGGTTGCAGTATGTCAGTCCATCAATGATCCTCACATGACTACATTTGATGGAAGGTAGGCAGGCCTATTAGTTTATACATTGTACAGCTAGGATATCGGCGTCAGTTATACTGTGATAAAGCTGTTTTAACTTGTGATCATGAGTGGCTGGGAGTTTGTGTTGTGTCTTTGGGAAAAGTTTCAAGCACAAGTCAGGTGCCCTCACCTTCTCATGGAGAGTTGAGCCCCCAAAAGTATATCAAGTAACCTGTAACTTTTTTGTCTCTTATTTTATGGAAAGTAAGATATGCTTTAGGACCTATGACAGTAAGCTTAAATTATACTCTTTACTGTATAGCTCAGCAGTGAAAGCTGTGGTCCTTCCTCCTCCCCTCGAAGAATGATGAATAAAGTCAAAGGAATCGAATACAAAAACAAGATAAAACGGTTACTTGCAGATATTGAGAGACGAATGTGTGTACATACAAGCTCACACTTCATGCATACATGTATACATGCATGTGCTTGCACACATGTGTTTTTAAAAAAACATAACATTAAAACTGTTGCATACATTTTGAATTAAATTACTAAACTAAACTGTATAGAAGTTATGAATTTCACTCTGAAGAATGTATAATACAACAATTATAACAACAACAAAAATTATTTTGCTCCTAAAATCATTATAAACTACATTTTCTCTATTCTTTTTTAGCATTGTTGATAAAACTATGTCGTGTTTCTGACAATAATAAAATATTTTTACCCAGGTGATTACATTTCCTTCTTGTCTTGAATATTAACTTAACCTTTAATATCTTTTACAGGTACTACAACAACTTCAATGTTGGAGAATTCATTCTTTACAGGCACACTACTCTTCCATATGAGGTGAGAAATTTTTTTTTAATGAGGTCAGAGAAACTTCTGAAAATAAGTTGACTTCCTTCAGGTTTGTGACCTCTTTGTGTGACAAGTGCTAAAAAAATACTAAGAATTGTTGAATGTGAATGTTGGTCCCTTAGTCTATCGATGAAGCCATTTTGTAAATATGTGATACAGGTTATGTACAGTTAACACTTTGTCAAATTTTGTATTAGTGTAGAAATATTTTGGGTATGGTATAGGTTGATTCCTTCAATCAACTTTGTAATCGTTCAAGAGGTGGAATCAATGTCCATATTTCATATGACCCTGTCAAGTGAGTGTGAAGTCTTGAAAACTCCCCATATACTCTTTAAGTTCATAAATGCCTTACTCAGGATTTGACCCAGGACCATCCACAATGAGGTCAAGCATGATTGCAACTGAGCTATTCGCATGCCATGTTTTATCTTTTTGTATATTTTAAATAGAGATTTATACAACCTCGCCCAATATATCAATATATATAAGTACCACTTACACACTTTGTTTGTAACCTTGGAATGTTCATATGTTGGATAAATTTTCTTCTGTATCCACTGTTTTCTAATACTAGTGTTTTATTTTTATTTTCCCAAAAGGTTCGCTCGTATTTCCGTAAGTGCAACAAAAATCGTGCGTCTTGCAACTGCGCTGTAGTGGTACGTGCTGGAGACGATACCATCAGAGTGGACAGATGTGGCCGTGAGAAAGACCAGAACGGGAAAGAAAGTCCACTTGATGTTGGCCTGTACCTCCGAGGACAGATGACCTCAGGTCTTTCAATAGTTCAGTACAATGACGGCAAGAAGTATGAGGTAACTCGCTGCTTTGTATGCTCTTATTGAACCCCAGTGAGACTACTTCAACTGCATTTGTGGCAAATTGAAACTTTAGTTTTGTCATTATTTAAAGACACCATGTCTTTAAACATTTTGCCAGTCTAGGTATTTCTGATTTCTGTCTTTTCTTGAAAAGTCTCATAGACTGTAATAAATATTATTTTCAGCACCATGAATACCTTTTGTGCCTTTTCTGATTATCAAAATGCTGTAGGGAACTTATGATGTTTTTAATGTTAATTATTAAACATATTTCAGATGTTATTTATGTTTCATATCACATAAATAAATAAAATATTGGATCAGCAATATCTCAACTTCAGGACTAGCGACATCTGACTGATTTTTTTCTGCGACGCCTCACATTTTAGTGAATGTGCAGTTTTGTCTGCAAATCTGTCCTTCCATTTACAAGTTAAAGGCATTATAGAATATTTTCTAAGCTTCCAAATTCCCTTACACACATCTCGTTAAGATTTTGTCTTGCTCAGTATGTAAAACTGTTAAAACTGTGGTGTTGGTGGCCTAGCGGTAAGGCTACCACACTCGTAATCGTGAGGTTGTGGGGTCGGGGGTTCGAGCAGCGGGGCCGACGTTGTGTCCTTGAGAAAGGCACTTTACACAAATTTTCCTCACTTCTCCCAGGTGGAAATGGGTACCCGGCCATAGCCAGCGAAAGATCTTGTCAGTATGTTAGTGTTTTAGCGCCTATAAATGGCTGCTTGCACTGTATGCTTTTTAGGAAGTTGACCTTGTTTCAGAATGCTCTCAGGTCTGCTGGGGTAATAGTATAAATTGTGAAGCGCATAGAGCCTGCTGTTGAGCGGGGATTTGCGCTATACAAATGCTATCTATTATTATCTATTATACTTTACTATACATGTTTTGAACAAAGCCGACCAACAAAGCTAGTCCACATAGCCACATACAACCCACAGAGCCAACCCACAAAGCCAACCCACAAAGCCAACCCACATAGCCATATCTAACCGTCAAAGCCAACCCACAAAGCCAACCCACATAGCAATATCTAACCGTCAAAGCCAACCCACATAGCCATATCTAACCGTCAAAGCCAACCCACAAAGCCAACCCACAAAGCCAACCCACAAAGTCAACCCACAAAGCCAACCCACAAAGCCAACCCACAAAGCCAACCCACAAAGCCAACCCACAAAGCCATGTCTAACCGTCAAAGCCAACCCACAAAGCCAACCCAAAAGCCAACCCAAAAAGCCATGTCTAACCCTCAAAGCCATGTCCAACCCACAAAGTCATATCCAAATTCACAAAGCCAACCAACATAAGCTTGTTCCAAACCACAAAGCCAGTCCACAAATTCATGTCCAACTCATAAAGCCAGCCCTAATAGGTATGTTCCAAACCACATAACTATGTTTTAACCCACAAAGCTAGCCCGCATATCCATGTCCAATTCACAGAGCCTATCCACATAACTGTGTTCCAACCCACAAAGCCAGCCCATATAACTATGTCCAACCTACAAAGCCAGGTCCAACCCACATAGAAATGTGCAACTTACATATCCATGGGCCTACTCAGATACCCAGTTACTTACAGAATAAAAATGTTGCCAAATCTGTTGCGAAATACTATCTAACATTCGAATTGCTTCCCACAGATATTCTTACCCTCGAACACAAAAGTTGTTGTTGTTGTGGATAGCAAATACATCAATGTGGTTATTCAAGCTTCATCTTTTGATTTCGGGAACACTGAAGGTGAGTGCAGTGCATTCGAACTTTCTTCCGATAAATTGTTATCAAGGAACTTTACAAAATGATTTAATTATTATGTCCTTGAAGCCTGGGATAAGTTAACTCAAATTGTTGTCTTTCAACTGAACCAGTGCTTCAAGATTTTATCTTGGTATGGCTATTTTCCCAGCCGCTGTGTTGCTTGTATCTTTTGGCTCTTGCCACAATGTCATTTTAAGTTGTTTTCGATAAATGTATAAGGGGTTATCAATAGTGAGAGTAAGAGGGAAAAAAGTAGTTGTTTGCAGTTTTTGTTGGCTGGGCCATGAGAAAGATAGATGACAGAAAATTTTATGAGCAGGCTCATCTGCGGGTTCTCTGAGTCCGTGAAAGACTCAAGTGAGCTACAATGCTATAGGTGGTAACTAAGACTAAAATTAGTTTGATTTTGTTTTTTATTGTATAGTCTTCAAAGCTTACTTGTTTGCATTTCATCATTCTTTTTAACCATCTTCCCATCTGCTAGGATTATGTGGCACTTATGATGGTGACAAGAAGAATGACCTGACCTCCAGCACAGGAGTCCTTGTTGATGGCTCAAGGGTGGACGACTTTTCTCTTAGCTGGAGGTAATCAGTATTGATAAAGTAGGGCCCTCTACCAACACTGAGTAATTATTTTTACCAAAGGTTTTTAGCAGTTTTAAAGACAGCTTAATTTGTATGCTTAATTTGTTGGGATTTTACTAAAATACATCATAGATACTTCTGTACTTTTACTTTGTTGTTTCTGTCTGTATGTCCTACTTTTTCCCTGACCAATATTTCTATTATTGTGTCAAGGTGCTTCTCTTTACACAATCAAACAGACAAGAAACATGAATACCCTTGGTTCTTTAAAGACAGGACAGCTAAAAACTTTCATAATAAGTAGGGACAAGAGCAGAACAATTTTGTTAAGTATTTGTACTCTACAATTTCCAAAGGATAACAATTCTGTTCAGTTATTGACCTGGTGAGAGGAGATCCCACAAAAAATGTCTCTCAATATATTGCATATTGTATCAGAACTCTTAATGCTTTGGTATATCTCATACCCTTAGTTTGCAGAAGAGTTGCGAACTGACCTACTCACACTAGTAAATCAGTATAAATGTAGAGACAGATTGTGTATGGATGCTGAGTGTGGCAATGAGGATGATTTACCAAGTTTACTTGGATTGTTCTCTAGGTTCCAGTGGAAATGATGAATTTGAGTTTGAAAAATTGCTTAAGTGCATGAATAATAGCTTTCTGTAATTTATAAATGTTGATTTACTGTCAGCTGCTTTTAGGAAAGCTGGGTACAGTAAAGTTTTTTAGTACCAGAACTGAATTCTCCTTGGTATTTTGAATACTTTTCCAAATGTTTATATTTGATGCGTCAAATTGTCAAATACCTAATAGTTTTGACGTTGAATATTATTATTTCCATGTTTTTTTATATAGAGTGGAGCAAAAAGATTCCATTTATAGTGGCTTCTGTGGTCAAGACTTTGCTGTTGGATCTACTCAGACCTTCTGTTCCTGTGGAGTTGTTAGTGGTACAGATTGTGGAGTCAGTCACGTTTCAAGTTGTCAGGAAGGTCTCAGGGTTATCTCTGGAGGTGAGAATGGCTGAAACTGATTGTGATACTTTGCATAATACATACATGTTTATTATGATTTTAAAAGTATATGTGAAGGAAGTGTGCTGGCAATCCATGAATGAAGATGCCTGCCGAAAATAGACACCTCAAATCTACAGATTTTAAACTGGTGCCATTTCCTTCAAGTTAAACATGTCTTTTATCATTTCATATAATAAATTGTTCAAGCCTAAACTGTAAGTTTCATCTGTCTGTCTGTGTCCTTGGGCTAAAGTCTAAAATTTATTTTATCAGCATACCTCACACATAGTCTCTTTTTCTGCATCTGTTAAAACAATTACATTTATTTTAGGTTTCAGACCATCTCAAGTATGTTATTTTCCTATTTTAAATGTAGATGAAATAAAGCATAACTTTCAGTCTTAATTTCTCAAGTAGGCATTGCACTATAATTGTCTAGAGGACTAATTTTGCTGCTTTTTGTCTTCAGGAACTGACATAACAATGTCATTGAAGACAGGGGCGATTCGACCGCCATGTGGCTTCCAGTTAGAGTTTGAATATGACACTGCTTACATCCCCAAGGTGAGTGGCATGTCTAATTTATGATGTGCCAGTGGGACAGTGCATATATGGTTCTCATAAATATTTGGAATCTGCAATCTTAATCAAATAACGTTCAAATGCTCTTTTCGTTTCATGGGGACATATAAGAGGAATTTACCGGTTCAAATTCTGAAGACCATCAAAACTTCACCGTGAATTTTTTTCTTATGACAGCCTCCATCATGGCCAACTCCCAGTGGGTTTAATCTGACAACAGCCACAGAGTTCTGTGAGAAGTATATTCAAGCCAGCATTTCTGCACAAGCATGCCTTGGTGCTGTCAGAGACTTAAACCTAGAGTTCGTCTTGAAAGGATGTGTGGAAGACATTCAGGTAAGAAATGAGTTATGAACACTTAAATGAAGAATTTTGCTAGAATGGCTTTGTCAAATAGTAGATGTCTTTGTTCTTTTGTTTGTATCCTCGTTTTGATTTATATACCTACAACAAGGCATTTAAAGAAGTAGAACTCATGATGTGCAAGTGGGTGGTTGGCGGGTGCTCTGTGGTTTGCTCCTTCTTTCCCACCAAACATCTATCGTCCTGATCTCTCTTTCTTTTTTGTTTTTATAACTCTCTTCTAATACCTCAATTCTTCTGCACTTATATGACCTTATTGTGGTGAAAGTGCTGTAAAACTCTTACTAAAACTAAACTGGTGTGCTAAGAGTACAAAGAGGATAAAGGAATTTTTGTGTGTTTGTGTATGTGTTTTGAATACATATGTTCCGCTAAATTTTGATGCTTTATTGCACATATGTGTTTGTACATATGTGCGTGCATGCATGTGTGGTTTTGGGGTTTTTTCATACCAAAATACTATTGTTTTCCCATTTGTTTATTTTTTGTGTGTGTGTATTTCGAGTACATTTGCACACCAATGCAGTATTTTGAAAGAAAACTTTGTTTCTTAAATTAAATGTGGGTACTTAATGTGACAAGTTGAAATGCTTTGTATTCAGCTCACAAATATCCATTTCGTCAATTCTTCTTTAACAATAAAATGTTTCAAAACAACTCTCCGTATTCAGGCCCTGCATCAAAATCAGTGTTTTGTCAATTGCTTGATCATGGTTTTGGAACGTATGTATTTTGAGACAGAATTGAGGGGGAAAAATCAGGTCTTTTACTTACACGAAGCTGTTTATTTTAGCTTAGATTTTTTTATTAACATATTTGCCTGTAGCAAATTCTGCAACTTTAACCTACACTCCTAGAAAAACCTTTTTGAAAGCGTCAAGAACAGTCTTTTCAGGGAAACCAGGCCCTATCCTTCATACGGGAGTCTGTACTAATGAGAATGCTGTATATTCACGCTAAACAGCAACTCTGAACCTATTATTTTTTTTGTCTATGATTCATTTTCTTTTTCAACTGTAATTATTGTATTTTCAGATATTGGACAGCACTGAGTTTGCTGCATCTGCAGTAGAAAATCTGAATATGCGTTGCCTTACTCATGTCCAAGTGAACATAAGGTAAGGGAAGCAGCAACCCAAAATTTTGGTTTTGAGAGACTGAAATTTTAGATGAAATAAATGTTCAAAGTCAAAATTTTATTTCCCAAAGGGGGGATATTAACATGTTCTTATGCGCAGCAGAATTGTAAATGGGATGATTTAGCAATGTCATGCTCATACTGTGCCGGAACAACATAGAGAGAACTGCTGCTTTTTCTTTCCTTGACCTTACTATCGTCATTTTTCCTCTACTTCTTTTTTATGTTTGTCACTCTCTTGTAAACTGCCATTTCCAGGGTACCTCGATAGTCGAAGCAGACTTTGTGCTGTTGAGGCTAGAGAGGTGAACAGAGTAAGCCTGATTCCCCGTTTGGACTTCTCTGTTGACATCCTCTCCTTGGCGCTCATATGACATTGTGCAGTTGCAAGCGTCGTAAAACCTTACTAAAACAAACTTTTATTTTAATTATCACACATTGAGCCTACAAGGGGCTGTTTATTTTAACTTCATGCTTTTTATCAACATAATTTTCTGTGGCTAGTACTGTAACTTTAACCCATCGAAACTTTTTTTGAGGGCTTTAAGAACAGCCTCTGCCTTACCCAATAACAGAATTTTCAGTAGTTTAAGACTGCTGATCCTTGGGGTCAGAGTGCTCTTATGGGGGGGTCAAATCAGTATGAAATGTTGACCGGCTTCTTTGTGCAATCATCACAGTGTTGCACCATCTGAAAACATTTTTGTGCGGGGCTTTTAGATGTTGATGCACCCCAGAAAAAAAAGTTAGGAAAAGAAGTGCCCTCATTCTGCAGTTAAAGCTCATTTCAGGTCACGCAGTGGCAAATACATACCACTGAGAACCAATAAAGAAAGATACAAAAGAAGTTTCCTACAATCTGTGACAATTTTAAGGCTGCTGTTGAAATGAATATAACCTGTATTGGTGTGTGTCAATTTTTTTATGTATAGGCCTACATAATAATATAATAAATTATGATAAGATGTCACTTTATTGTCCCAGTGGGAAATCATTCGAATTTATCAGTATAACTTTCAAGGTCTGTAATTTCTGGAAGCAGTTTGAGAGATGCATCAGGTGTGATATGTTTTGTTTTTGTCAGATTAATTTTTCTCTTCATAATTGAATTTTTTTTAAAGTAATTTATAATTTAAACTCTATGTATATCAACTCTTGTTTTTTACCATTGAGACAATAAAGTATCATGCTATTTTATCTTAAGTTTATTATCTTATCTTACCTTATCCTACTAGTCCCATGTTTCTCTTCCAAAGTTTTCCGCCCGAAAGTATAGTTGATATTACTGTGATTATAAAGAAATGACTACTGTGGTTCTATGGTGTACTCATCTATTTCGGGGATCTGATGCTCTGAGGGATGAATCATTTAGTCGAACTGGCCTCCTTCCTAAAACAATCACTTGTACAAATGACCACTTCTCACCTCTCCCCTTGCATTTTTTAAATATTATAATGACTCTGTCCAAGACATCCACCAGTCTTAGACAACCACTTTACTCCTCAACAATGGGTGGCTGTCTGTGTTGCACAATTTTCACTGTGGTTTGTACCTTCTGTGCCTTGCAATTGTCTGCCTGTAGCTTGTTCCTCGTGGGTTTCATTGTCTGTGTCCAAAGCATGCTCTGTATTTATTCTGAATTATTTTGTTTTGCTTTTGCAGTTATTGGGTGACCATTGAAAGTGGAGTTGTTATCAACCCTGTTGTGTTTGACTCCCTTTGCCCTGCTGATTGCAATAACAATGGAAATTGTTCCAAAGGTGAGCTTCGGTGTGTATATATATATATATATATATGTAAAGAGTAAATTTGTATCAAGTGTTCCAAAGGTGAGCTTCGGTGTGTATATATATATATATGTGTAAAGAGTAAATTTGTATCAATTGTTCCAAAGGTGAGCTTCGGTGTGTATATATATATATATATATGTAAAGAGTAAATTTGTATCAATTGTTCCAAAGGTGAGCTTCGGTGTGTATATATATATATATATGTAAAGAGTAAATTTGTATCAAGTGTTCCAAAGGTGAGTTTCAGTGTATATATATATGTAAAGAGTAAATTTGTATCAAGTGTTCCAAAGGTGAGCTTCGGTGTGTATATATATATATATATGTAAAGAGTAAATTTGTATCAATTGTTCCAAAGGTGAGCTTCGGTGTATATATATATATATATGTAAAGAGTAAATTTGTATCAATTGTTCCAAAGGTGAGCTTCGGTGTGTATATATATATATATATATATGTAAAGAGTAAATTTGTATCAAGTGTTCCAAAGGTGAGTTTCAGTGTATATATATATGTAAAGAGTAAATTTGTATCAAGTGTTCCAAAGGTGAGTTTCAGTGTATATATATATATATGTAAAGAGTAAATTTGTATCAAGTGTTCCAAAGGTGAGTTTCAGTGTATATATATATGTAAAGAGTAAATTTGTATCAAGTGTTTTCATGGGCAAGAAGAGAAATGGTAAGGGGAGGTTGCTTTTTTATTGGCATGCGTGTGTAGAAAAAAGGAATCAGGAATTTATGTGACTGGAACTTCTGTCATAGCGGTACGTAGATGTCTGCTATGTACCATTTTTACTGTAAGTGTACCCACCAGTCTTTTATTGTCATATCCAGCGGATAAAAGAAAAAAAATCTCCTATGACAATCTTTTTTATTGATCATGCTTTACAAAGTCAAAATTAGCTCTGTGTACTGAATGAACTGGGTTTGTCAACGAGAGATCTCCTCAATGAGGCAAATGGAGAAAATTTTCGACATCTTCTGTGCTGCTTCCCTCAACGATGCAAGTTAATGTACAAATGATAGTGATAGTGACTGAAAGGCGCAGTCAATTAAACTGGGTAGGATAAGTTAGGGTTTTTGGGGAATCCATTTCCCATTGAAATAATTCACTGTTTACATTTAGTTTTTACAGTTCAGGAAAGGGAGTGTAAATGAACATGACATAGTGATTTAGCTTGATGACAAAAAATTGCTTTCCACATTTAGAGATGCAGATTTTTCACCTATTATTTGTTTACATTTTACTTTTAAAGTTCAGAAAAGAGAATGTAAGTGAACTTAACATGGTGATTAAGATTGAAGGTCAAATGCTGCTTTTCAAAAGAAGAAATAAAGATCTCATGTTTTGATGTTTTGCATTCTTACAGGAGTCTGTATATGTGATGCTGGCTTTGGTGGAACAGCATGCGACATTGACCTGACCTCACCGCCAAAATTAACAAACACCCCGGAAATCCAAATATGTGATAGCAAGAATTCCACATGTCCCAATGAAATCCTCATTTTTGGTGAAAACTTCCTGAACTCGGAACAACTCACTTGCCACTTCAAGGAAATCACGGTAATGTTGTTAAAGGTTCTATGCCATTGTATTTGTGAGACAGCATGGTGAAATCAGGGGCTCGTCAAGACAATGAAATCAAAGAAACCTGCGTTTTTCTGGGCATTGGGCAATTTTCTTCAAATTTTCTTTTTTTGGCTCAACAGCTTTTGTGTCCTTTAAAAAACAAATTTCTGTTTGGATATTACTGAAAAATTTTGATAAAAGGCACAAATAATAAAGATTTCCAGTTTTTAAAGACACTCAAGCTTTGTGAGTCACCAAACTTTGGCTGACATTTTCTCCCTAATTTTTCCCTTTCACACCAGGCAACCCCCCACCTCATTCAATAGCAAATGTCTCAACTTCTATTCAAAATAGATTGTTGCTGTTTTTGCCAAATGCAAGACAATTGAACAAGTTTTAAGACAATA